CACACTGTCATTCATTCATTGCCTCGATAGCAGAAAGTATTATAAAAGTTGTCTTCTCATTATTCATTGTATCTCCCAACTTTTTCTTTTTTTTTATGTTACATTTTCCTTTCTAGAAAAGCCTACTGCTTATACGTTCAGAAGGAACAGCCCCACACAACATTTGATCATTGGATTTATTCGACTATTACGAAGAGTTTTCTCAACATTGCACATCAATTCATGATGAACACAATTCAATTTCAATTATTACTCCATTTAATTATGTATTACTATCTCTGAAAGGTTTTTTTCTTTCAAACACATTAAAATGAACTAACTTGCATTATTTTAAACGTACATGCAATGCAGTGATTCCCAAACTTTTTTGTCACCTGAACCTCTTTGACCTAATATATTTACTTGAAGGCCCTGAGATAATAAAATTAAGACAATCATAATAATAAAAATAAATAAAATTAAGTTAATGGTTCTTTGATGTCAATTAATGTTCATATGACATACAGGTAAACAAATACAATATATATTTGATATTTTTTAGTAGGCGTTTTATTTTTATTGTTTTTATTTTTTTTTAAAAAAATAACCCTGACGTAATATTTAATGCTCTTTGTGTTTTTAAAAATGTTTTTTTCCCTTTGAATTCTTATATCAATATGGTACAAGATTATTCTGTTCAAATCAATGAGATAAACAAGTAATCTAAACAAAAGTCATCTAAAAGTAATCCACAAGTAGTCAGATTACCTTAAATGTGTATTGTAATAGATTATGTTACAGACTAAAATATTTGTCACGTAATTTAGAATCAATAACCGATTACAATTTATGGCTTACATCCTCAGGATAGAAGTAGTATATCCCATCTCTAGTCAGGTCACCCTCCTCTTGCACTTTTGAACTATCATACAGGAAGAAGAAACCGCATCTAGAAAAATAACCAAACATGCATGGTAAAGTTAGCCTTTAAACCAAACTTCTTGCCTTCCAGTACTACTGACAAAACTTCAAGAAATTGATGCCGAACTGTTTTCCATTCATTTAAAGGATGATAATATCACCAAGCACATATAATACACTAGACAATAAACTCTCTGTTCTCAATGACTTTCTTTGATGGGTCAGATTGTAAAGAATGCATTTCTAATGAAAGCGTAAAGCAGTTGTGTTTAATATACGGACACAAAATATCACTATGTTTAAAGAAAGCCTGTACCAAAAAAAATAAAAATTTACACAATAATAAACAATGTTAGGAAAAGTTACTTTGTATGGAAAGTAATGCATTATGTTACTTTTGCATTACTTTTTCTTTCCTGGCTAAGGTTTAGGCTACTCTCTTCCAGCCAGGCCTTGCAGGTATTTTGTTTTACAGAAAAGTTTTCTTTTTGTTATTGTTGTTGCAAGTGAACGCAGCAATGCATTCAACAGTATAGCCTATACAAAACCTTAATTTAATATATATATATGAAGAGCTCTTTTCCAAAACGCTATAAATCCATTTCAATAGTTTTCAGGAAAACTACATTTTTTACCTAGACCCACACATTTTGTGAATATTCAAATTATCCTGTTTAAATGTTTTATTGGTTCAGTCTGAACATTTTGAACAATAATTATTAAATCAAACAACAATATTGTTAATGATAATTTAAAAGTTAATTTTATTTTTTTCCAAAACGCTATAAATCGAAATAAACCTCAAACAAATAGTACCAATTTCAACATATGCATGAAAAAAACAAATTATTAATACCAATTTCAACATATGCATGAAAAAAACGAATTATTAAAAATGATCAATATATGATAACGATATTCAAAAAAGGGATGGGCACCCCTCCAGCACATGCACACACACACACAGGCTACATAACATGTGAGCAAAGCGGAGCAGCATGACGCTTAAATATAAGTTAACAAAAAAACAAAATAAACATTTCACATTTGTTTTTAATAATATTACATTACTTATTTTTATTATTTCATCTATGTTGAGTAGGCTATGAAAAGGGAACCGCATGAGATGAGTAAGATAGGATCAAAATTCAAAAGCTGCCCAATATCGGAAAATATTTGGAGTGCGTCAGACATGATTTTGACCACTTATTAAGTTTTGTTTTGTAGAAAGCTTGTAAATTTCGTTTCATATAAATTGTATCTTCATTTTAATAAATGTTTCATCGACAAATTGACTGGATTAATACATTAGAAGTAAATATCAGACAATATAATCAGGACACAGAGGCGCGCAGGTGAACCGGAGCGCGTCTCATAATATGAACCGAAACACCGCGATGCTTGCCTCACACAGGCCTGAGAACTAAGCTACAGAAAGCTTTAAATATCTACTTTTAAACAAAACAATTAAAAACTAAAATAAATTGGCAACTCTCTGCGTATGTATAGGCTAATTCGAAGTATGCGTTTCTCTATGCGCGTTCACTGCGAAGATGGCGAGTAAGCATCATCAACTTTATCTTTGTTGCTGACACTGACAGAAAACACTAGTTTATTAATAAACAATTCAAATGTTTCATGCATAATCATTACTTTTGCCGGTTCTTTGTGGCAAGCTTTATGCATACGTTGAGATGCGGAATATGCAATTAAAAACGCTCATATGGTTTCTCTCCCATTTAATTAAATCAATATATGTGATTACTGATAATACAAATGGCTTAAATGATCTACTACTAGTCGACTAGAAAACTAGGACTCATTTTGAGGAATGAATGAACATAATAAACCTCTGTTCAGAGTGCCACCGTGCTGGATTGTGTAGAGCGCTCATTGAATTTGAGGATTTATCGTGTTTAGGCTAAAAACAGGGCTGGTGCTTATCGCGGCTTGGGAAGAAACTGTATCTTGCAGTACATTTTAAACAAGGAAATATAGCGATTCGGCATGAAACGTTGATAGAGCAGTGAAAGGGTTCTGTCCGCAGCAGAATGACACGACAAACTCATTTTTTTTTTAAATGTCGTTTAACGCGTTTTGGAAAAGAGCTCTTCATATATACACACAAGCAATTAAATTAAACGTTACTGAAAAGTAACATGGATTCATTTTTTAATAAAGTAGCTCAAATATGAATGTGTAAATTTAAAGAAATGTGTTACATGTTACATCAAAAAGTAATTGATTACATAATGCATTGTGCATTACTTATTATCCCCAACTCTGCTCATAAACAGAATATTATTCTCACCGTCTGGAATCGGTCAAAGCAGCAGTCTCAGCCATTGGTGATCTGTTGAGAGAGCAGCAATCTGGTTAACTTTCCCACATCACAAACCATGATTAACTAAGTTTGTAAGGGAGAATCTATGGGGAAAGTAATATGCATGGAAAAACTAAAGAATGGCATCATGGTGAGATATCTATTAATTGGAGGATCTGTACTACTACTTGAGTACTAGCTACTACTAAATAAATGCTTCAACTTACAATGTTCTTTACACTTTTTTAATGCAAACATTAGGCCTAAGTTTGTTACTCCCTACAATTCTGCTTATATCTCCAAAGTACAAGGTATACTTTTACAGGTCATTAGAGCAAGGTGTTTAAAGGGATAGTTCACCCAGAAATGAAAATTCTGCCATAATTTACTCACCCTCATGTTGAGCCAAACTTACATAAATTTCTTTCCTCTGCTAAACACAAAAGAAGATATATTCTTTTGAAGAATATGGGCAACCTAACAGGCCCAAGGCCCCATTGACATCCGTAGTAGGTGGGGGGGAGGGGTTAATACTACATCATCAACTGTTTTGATATCATTTAACATCATTTAAATAACTTCTTTTGTGTTAGCCATACATAAGAAATTCATACAGGTTGGGAACAACTTGAGGGTGAGTAAATGATGGAGAGATGAGAACTTCCATTTTTAGGTGAACTATCCCTTTAATTAGACAGCTTTCACTTTAACCAAGGCTTATTTCTTCTAATGCCTTACAATGTTTGCGTTCAATGTAGAAACTACTTTTTAAATTTAATATTAGCTGGAAATACTGTATTTCCAGCTAATATTAAAGTTAAAAATTGTAATATTAGTTTAATATTAGCAAATAACGCATTTATTGCTGTGTCAAAACAAAAGTAACAATATATTGGAATATTTAAAGTAAAACCTTTAAATACTTCTGTACAATTAAACTTGGAAAATTTTTACTTACACAAGTATTTTTTTATTATTGTAAATTATGTGGATAATGATCATAAGGTTTTGCAGTAGTGGTGTTCAGTACTGCTTATTATCCGTTTTGATGGGAAAATGCATTTTAGTCATTTTTATCATAATGTGTGTTGCATACGTGCAGACTGAACACGCAAATGAGACGACAAACAAATCGGTCCTTCATTGTCCAAAGAACCGAAACACAAGTATTTTGACTCACCATCGGCGGGTTGAATGAACAGCTGATAAACTTCATTCATGTCAATAAACTTTAGCTGCGTTGCTCAATCCCACTCGCGCTCCCTTAATGACTCATTTTCGTTTAAAAACTACGGGAAAAAACTCACGACAAACCGAACATCAGTCAAATATTCCTTATAAATAGGAAATACGATCTCTTGTTTCATAAATCCATAATTTCGAATTTGTGTAGGAATGTGTGTCACAAGAGTCAAGTCATGTGAGAGTGTCTTGACAGTATGGCAAGCCTGGAGGGACAAACTTTCTCCACTTTAGCGTTTCTGGGGGAGGCATCATGCACATTTTACAGATTTTAAAGTCAAATGTTCTGTAAATACACCCTAAACAAACTTTTAAAAATATCTTTCTTTAACCGTTTCCTAAACTCCCCGGTTTCACAGACTAAAATGCATTCTTACTGAATAGATCTTATATCTTAAATGTCAGTGTCACTGTTTGGACTCTCAAGATGCACAGCATTAATGTTTTTCTCCTACAGCATGTTAATAAAAGCTACTGAAATGTCCTAATGAAAACTTCAACCACTTCCTTCAAAAATGAGACTTCAGACAGTTTATCATTTTAATTAATATATTTTTATTTTTTCAGTTTAAGCAGACAAAGTGATGCAATGGTCAATTGAGTGAATGTAACTGCTTTCATACGGTGCTTCCACTAGGTGTGGAAAGCACAGAGGTAAGATCAACAAACTGGAAAGACGTCATGTAAACTGAAAGAAACTGAGGAGTGGTCCAGGCCTGGGCAGATGTCCAGGGATGAGAGAGGGGGTAGAGAGGGCCCTCTGGTCCCTGTAGGAGAGTTCTGGGAGAGCTTCTAACACCCTTCACTCATCGTGATGCTCGTAGCCGTCAGGGAGGGCGTTGATGTGGGGGTTGTGAAATAGCGACTTGTTGCCGTCACCCCATGGGAAACGCTAATGCAAATGAGAAAAGAGAGGCATAGATGTGAAGTGTATTGCTTGAATAACAAAATTATCAAATGTATAAATAATTACACAAATGTGTTCACAATTCACCATGTGGCATTTTTCATTTAGTCAAATGTTTAAGTAAAAATAATATATTGGTAAATGATTTTTTACCACACAATTAGCTTTTCCTGTACTATGACTATACAACAAGTATAGTAAAATTAAATTGTAAATATAAAAAGAAAATGCATTAATATAGCATGATTAGTAGGGATGCACCGAATATTCAACGCATTCTCATCCTTTAACGTCATATAGAACGCTAGTGACAAAACGGCGCTATACTACGCACATGGCACCCGTTATCGTTAATATAACACGTGCTGTGAGGGCTAAGTTTAGGTGTGGGGTAGGGTGTACGTGTCATATTCACGCTAAAGGATTTATAACGTCTTGGGTTCGCGTGTTATATTAACGATAAAGGGAGCCGTGTGCGTAGTATAGCGCCGTTTTTGCATATAGCGTTCAATATGACGTTAAAGGATGGAATATTCGGCCACCGAAAATTTTCGGCCGAAAATGGCCCAAAAGTGCATTTTCGGTTTTCGGCCGAAAGACTTTTATCACCGAAACAATACGGCCGAAATGTTGTGATGACGCAAACAGAAACCGCGACCTGCACGTGCTTGTCTGAAGCAACATGTTTGCGGTGCGGACGTATTTCAGTGAATCTGAACCCGCGAGGAGACGGAAGCCTTGTTTATCCACCTATATCTGCTCTAAACAATGCGCGCCGCCATGACAACGACTCCGGATGCGAGCGGGTCAAGTATAAACTGTGGAGACTCGCGCTGCGGAGGTAGGCGAAAGTATGCGCGAGTCTCCTCAGCGCGCACACCGCTCCAAACGGTCGAGGCCGGCGTTTATACTGGACCCGCTCTCCGTCGTACTATTCCTTGAAACGACAGGGGACGACTCAAGTAACTGTCCTCTAACCATTAGGAATCGGTGAGAAGAAGAATAATCATGTAAAACCCAGTAAACTCTGAGATTATTACTTGTGTGACATTACAAAAAAATATATATGGGAACATGTATGTATAGAACTAAATTAATGCTCTCTTAAATATTTTCTACATTCACTAAACATGTTTCGTTAAGTTTCATGTACATTTGTATTAATCATGGACCTTTGTTCATTTAAAAAGGCTTTTTATGCTATTGTATGCTAAATTTTTAAAATGTAAGAAACTAATTTAGACGTGCAAAGGGTGCTGGTGTGATGAGAAGAAGTTCGCACTCGGCTTTGTTTTTATGAGAGAACATTTAATTTTAAAACCTTTCTGCAGGCCATTAGATTATTATTTAATGTACACATGAGTGGGGTCAAAAACATTTTACTTTGAATTTTATTTTATACTGTGCATTGTGCTAAATAAATATTTGCATAATTTGTAATTGATTTATTCTTTGAAAATTTTAGATTAATTTATGCAATTGCAATGCCTTGATTTTAGTAACGTTTGTACACAGTCATAGCCATAAATGCAATGATACTGATAATTGGCATAATTTCTTTCGGTGTTTCGGTTTTCGGCCTTGGTTTCCTCTTTTTCGGTTTTCGGTTTCGGCCAAGAATTTTCATTTCAGTGCATCCCTAATGATTAGTCATTAATAGGCTGCATTCTCGATTCAAATACCCACGCAATCTAATTCCAAAATGACAACGATTCGGCTCCGTCTACTAAACCTTTGACAAGAATAATTACAGCGAGACACTGAGATCTGCATTGGCGCTGGCGTTGAACACGAGAGCGGAACAGCTACACAAACAGTCTTTTTTTTTTTAAATCCTTACAAGCCTTTTAACTAGGGATGTTAACGATTAATCGACGATCGATAAATTGTCGATGATACATTTAATTTGATAATTTGTGAATTATTTGGGTTTAGATGCCATGTCGCTAGTTCCAGGAAGAGCGTGTCCACCACAACATTAGTCATTCTGAATGGCATGCAACTTTGTTTAAATTCACTTGTGCATTCACGTCATTTTGAGCAGATATAATTTTGTAATACTTTTATTTTGTATACATCTGATTAATATCAAATAGCATGCGTTTCTTTGAGTTAAATAAATGCTAACAAGTGCTCAACGATTCATTCAGCACGCGCCCCTCAAGCAGAATGCACGACTAATAATAACGATGGTTAATTTGGGACTGTCATACATAACATGAGAACACTATTTTATTATATGGTTGTGAATTCATTGGGTTTAGTTGCCATTTTCAGTGTGGCATTGGTGACGCTTTGTATTTGTTATACAATCACATCAAAACATTTTACAATCCTTCTAACCCTATATTTAGATTAAAAACCATTCTTATTAATTTGGTGAGAAACAGCTTTTTGAGCAGCTTTTGCAGACCCTGTAATGCTGTTTGCCATTAATGCTGACGATTAATCGATTTTTAAAATTTGAAAATTGACATCCCTACTTTTAACCATATTCATGCAGAAATGTTAACCTTATTACTACATCCCAAACCCTGGTTATAATTGAAGCTCTGTTTATATGAAGTAATATAGATCAATGGCTGAAAAGTATAGTTATATTTTTAGCTATTTTGTAGTCCTCCTAACAGGAACAGATCAGCATTACTCTTCACTGGTATATGCATTGCATATGGTTATGGTGTGTGATCTCACAGCCTCATTCCTGGAGGCCCTCTAAGGTCTCATGCACAGAGCTCCAATGTCAGGATAAACCAGCAACTCACATTTACTAGAGAAATCAAATCATGTTTCTTGACTTTCAAACATGATGCATAGCTTTAGCTGACAAATACCTTTTATTTCATGGTTTGCCTGTTCTTGGAGATATTTGCACGACCCATTGATCTTGAATGACATTGATTTTCAAGACAACAATGTGTTCAAATTAATGTATAATTGATAAACAGCCAAATTTAAAATAGAGTATTTGCAATTCTTTCAAACAAAACTGTCTCAAAAGTGCATGACCTGACTCCACTGAACTTCTTTACAATATTTTCATATAAACCAGCATGAAAATGCATAATCTCACAACAAACGACAACAAATGAGGTTTTTTTTATTGTGAAAAGTGAGTGTTTTCACCTTGCTGCGGATGCGCAGGTGGGTGTAGGGAACGAACTCCGGCTGTTCATGTTCGTGTTGGGACCTGAGGTACATGTTCAACATGCACACCGCGACTCCGGGCAGAGCCACCACAAACGTCAGGATTTTCCAGGTCTTGGCTGCATGAACATATGAGAAATAAGACATGTTCTGTTTGAGACGTTTTAGACATTATCAAATTAACACACCAAGCGGTTGACAGGCTAGTCATTTAGTTCATATAACTATGTAGTTATTAAGACATAATTATCTAATTTTGTTGCAAACTCACTATACAAAAGACTAAACTAAATGCTAAAGTTACTCAACCATCTTTGTCAACCACAGAACAACATTAAACGGCCATTCGTGTCACATTCGCAAGGTCAAGTTACGGCTGTTCTTAACAGTTGGTGTTTTTTTTATTACAGCATCTGATTTAAACTGATTAGAGTTGTAACTGACCTGCTTGTTCGCTGTGACCTGCTACAGCCGAGAGCTGACGGCTTTGAGTCAGCGAGGCTGACTTGAGGAGCTTCTGGGATAAACGTCCGATCGCGGCCATTTTCGCGGAGACTGGAACAGTGATGGCGGAAGAAGAGCATTAATGCCGCTGCAGGTGCTGGAGATTGACGCGCCCGCCATCTAGTGACAGGGAGGTCCAAAAAAGTCTTTCATTCCAAAATATAAAGGAGTTGTTCACTTAAAAAAAAAAAAAAAAAAAACGTTTGCTGATTTACTCACCCCCATGTCATCCAAAATGTCCATGTCTTTCTTTCTTCAGTCGAAAAGAAATTAAGGTTTTTGATGAAAACATTCCAGGATTTCTCTCATAATGGACTTCAATGGGAACCAAACGGTTCAAGCTCCAAATGAGTGTTTCATTGCAGCTTTAAAGGGCTTTAAGTGCTAACGTAACTAAAAGTAGTGGATGTCACTGAAGCTTGGGCTTCAGGCTTTGAATCTGTGAGTGAAACAATTGAATCGCTTTACTTGTCATGAATAAGCGTCATGTTTTCAATTAGCTGTACGAATCAACTCAGTGGTAGGCTAATGCAAGTATTATGGTTAACATGCACTAACAACATGACCTATTAGAAACATATCATTAGCCGATGACATTCTACTACTTTAATTCTAGTTTAGAGTAGTGAATATCTCGTGCACAGTTGTTTTTCTTTTTACCACTACGGTATTTATATTTGATAGTTATTTTGTCATGCATTTTTGGCAACTGCAATGTTTTTTTGGCAGAAACCCTAGAACTGCGGTTTGGCCGGGTGGAAAGGACCAGCCTCTCCGGCGTCATCCGGCCATTCCACGGAATCTTCACTCTCCAAATTGTGCCATGGAAAACTAGCCTATGTGTTGCAAGGAAACAAGTTGATCAGTAAGTTGAAGTTGTCTTAAAATATTATTTACGCATTGAAGATTCAATAACTGCACTTCATCAGTGTTTACCTATTGTTTATTATGTGTTTGTGCATAGTACATTTGCAATGTTGCACGGATTTAATGCGACGCAATTTAACCAATTGTATTTCAGAGAACGTTGTGAAGTGGCATTTTCTTACATTATCGTTAGATAATCACTTGATTTATACTTTTGTCTTTACATTCAGGCTATAGGCTGACCTCAAGGAATGCAGGCTAACAATCTCTCAGATGATGTGGAGGGAAATCCTGACCGGGAGGATCCCTTCCAACAACGCAAGTTGCAGCTTATTAAAGCAGACATGGCTATGGGTGTTGGCTGCTCTTTACAGCCGATAGCGGGACACTTGGCACACTTTTCTATCCTTTGTCCCCCATCACATACTTTAGAATACATTTGATAGCTTAAACACTTTGATAGCTTAAACTCATCCTGTGGAAAATCAAATTTGAGGGTCCAGTTAAATTTGTAAACGATCAAATTGTTTATCTTCCGTAAACTTAAACTTTCTCAGAGTGCTTTCTCACACTTTATATTTTTTTTAAGTGAATTGCTTTCACTTCTGCAATAATCTGCTGAGTTTAAAGGAATAGTTCACCCAAAATGAAAATGATCCCATAATTTACTCACCCTCAAGCCATCTTAGGTGTATATGACTTTCTTCTTTCAGCCGAACATAATCTAAGTTATATTAAATAATATCTTGGGTCTGTAATGGCATTCAATAGTGCCTGAGTTTCTGAAGCTCCAAAAAGCACATCCATCCATCATAAAAGTAATCATTACGACTCCAGTCAGTGGGTTAATAAATGCCTTCTGAAGTGAAGTGATGAGTTTTCATAAGATATATAAACAATAAACTACAATCCCTGGCACTGATGTATGATGTAGGCGTAGAATGTATGAACACGGAAGCGCAGAGGATAAAGCAAAACCAAACACCGGTCACAAGTTAGGAGTCTAAACGTTTTAAAGGATGGATGTGCTTTTTGGGGCTAAAAACTCAGACACTATTCGATGGCATTACAAAGCTGGGAAAAGCCTGGGTATTGTTTAATGTGACAAGTGACTTAATGACATGTTGAAGTGAAATATGCTGGTATCGGGAACTGTTTTGCAGGCTTTACATCAGCTCATTTTGAAATAAAGTGCTTGCTCAAGATAGCCCTAATTTAAAGTCTGTTCTAAACTGTTTAATTTGGGCATTTCAAATCTATTTACGGTACTATTTCTTTTTTCCCCCATGCTGTGTTCAGGCAAAGTGGCTTGTGTCATGTTCGCGGTTCTCCTCATCCTTTCATTCTTGGTAATAGGAATTGTAACAGGTGTCAACTGTAAGTCAGACTCATAATGATGTCAGTTGTCTCTAATGTGTTAATAATGGAGATGTAACTGGCTTGTTTTTAATTTCATTTAACATGCTGAAGTCAAGAAGAATCCACAAGAAGACCAGACCAGAGGTCTTCTTTCTGATGATATTACGGCTATCCCCTTCCAGTACAAAGGTGATGTCAGTAAAATCACAAAGCTCTAATAAATTGTATGTAAATTATTGGTAAGCAAGTGTTGTCTATAGTTTTGTTCTATCTATCACATACAGGGCGCTGCTCGGATGGTTGGGTTTCCTATAAGAACACCTGTTATTTGTTAGTGAATGTTTATGGGACGTGGGAAACATCACAGTCTTTTTGCCGCAACAATGGGGCGCACTTGATGGTTGTGAACAGCGAGGAGGAGCTGGTAAGGACATGGATACAGACATGTTGGTGGACTGTATATATTTTTATCCTCATTTACACTACTGTTCAAAAGTTTGAGATTAGTATGATTTTTTTTTTTTAAAGAAACTGTATCGATCATATGTGACAGTAAATGTTTTGTTTATAATGTTACAACAAATTTCTGCACTGTTTTCAACATTGATAATAATTAGAAATGTTTCTTGAGTAGCAAACCAGCATATTAGAATAATTTACACATCTATTTACTCAAGCATAATGTGACACTGAAGACTGAAGTAATGATGCTGAAAATTCAGCTTTGCGTCACAGGTATAAATTACATTTTATTAAAATAGTAAACATTTATTTTAAAGCGACATCTAACTTTTGACGCTTTAGTGGTTAATAAACAAAACTGCATGCATCCTGCATGCGGACAGTGTACCGTACATACTAGAGCCAGACCGATAAAGGATTTTGAAGGCCGATACCGATACAAATATTTTTGGGTTTTAAAATCTGATATTCCGATATATCGGCCAATATTTTATTTATTTATTTTTATAATTTTTTTTAAACTGGACATGATAGTCACAAATTTTGTCATGCTTATTTCAGTTAAGAGAACTGATGGGGATTATCTTTTAATTGTTATTCAAGCAATGTATGTATCGTGAACAAATCAACGAGTGTTGCCAACAGGAACGGTGTAGAGTGCCCTCTGGTGGACAAACTATACAACTCCAACACTCATGACATGGTTCAAGCGTGTTTCGTCTGTTTCTGTTTTTATGTTATTTCTGAAATATTCATTTATCGGCAATTATAACTGCCGATACCGATCGTTTGGAAAATGCCTAATATCGGCCGATAATATCGGTCTGGCTCTAGTACATACATTTTCAATGGAGGGGCAGAAAGCTCTCGGACTATATCTAAAATATCTTAAACTGTGTTCCCAAGATGAACTTACGGGCTTGGAATGACATGAGGGAGAGTCATTAATTACATAATTTTCTTTTTTTGGGTGAACTAACAGACATGTTGGTGGACTGTATATATGGTGGGTGAACTAACCCTTTAGTTCACCCACCTGGTCTAAAATATAAATATAATCGCTTATTATAGGCGTAACGTACGTGAACGTGATTCAGAATAAGACAAAAACACACTTTGGAAGATTGATTTCTGATGTAGGCTACTCGCCTATTTTACACATAGCAAATTTTGAACTAATAAGTTGCATAATGTATTTATGATCAAACTTTTGGATGGTATTGTATATTCTGAGAGCATAGATATTCATCATAGAAGTATATTTAAAGCACATTACTGGTTCTTAGGAGTTCATTTCAAGAACTGTCCAGAAACAGCCTGACTACTGGATAGGCCTCAAGAGGGACAAATCGGGCAAATGGTCCTGGGCTAATGGAGACGATTATCATTCAGCTCCACAGTAAGAGAGCATTGACTTCCATACTTTTGTAACATGTGTTTTATGTCATCTATGAATACTTTTTAATTTCATTAAACAGCAGCCATACTGTATGACAGGCCAACAAGATCAATTTTTTTGTGGTTTGTTCTTTTCAGTTTCTGGGATGAAAATCAACCTGCTCATGGTGGCTTGGAGTCCTGCGTCCACTTAAAAGGAACTGAAACAGTGCGTCGCAAGCTGTTGCATGATGCTGACTGTTACAGCGAACGCTATTTCATTTGTGAAACAAACTAGAGAAAGGCATGTGGTAGGAAACTTTACATTAGACTGTTCTTCTAAAATCCTGCCCTGGACACACACCTTCTGATAAAACTGTACTTGCCTGACTGCTGCAAATTTGATGTACTTTTGCTATGCATAAGTCACGTATTTTATAGTATTCCAGTGTAAAGTCCAGTTATATGAACACATTTGATTAGGTACCTAATTTTTGGCACAATTTCATCTGAACCTAGATATTTTGATTAAAAATACAGTATTGCTTTATCTATATTCAAACTTTTAAACCAGTGTTCAATAGGCTTCCTAGAATATCATTAAATATGATTATCTCTCTTAAAAGAGTTATAATTGTTGTTATTTAAATATATTTTTAATGTGTATCTGACAAAGGCTCAGGATAAAGATCTGTTTGTTGAGATTTAATAAGCAATCATAATTCACAGTCAACTGTAGTCAAAAGTCAAGCTAATTACACAGGCAAGACAAAGAAAGTCATTGATCATAACTAGGTGTAGAATTGAGATGAGGACCTCTGGTGGTGAGCCGAATAAACTGAATTTTATTTTGCGAAGATGGTACAATGGAAAATCTACTTCAATAAATCAAAACCTGTCTACTCAAAAAGGTTCAGTGGGGTTTAATATACAAATGAAAGTAGGGTTTTTGACTCAATTTTAAAGAATCCTTAATGCCAAAAAGTATTGAAGCTTGTTGTTTCCGCCTCAGAATAAAATTGAAAGATAATTGCAACTTTTTATCTCACGATTCTGAATTTGAACCTCAGTACATTCAGAATTGCGTGATATAAAGTCGCAATTGCATGTTATAAAGTCAGAATTTGAAATGAGAAATAAAGAAATAACTTAATGAGAAATAATTAGTCGCAGTTGAGAGAAAAAAACTAGCAATTGTCTTTTAAAACGTTTTATTCTGTGGTGGGAAATAAGCTTCCATTTAAAAGGTTTTATATAAGAAGAAATGTCTTTAATGATTGCATAAAACATTCATATTTAATGGGTTATTTAAATTTTTGTAGTGATGAAAAGCTTTTGTAACATTATAATTATAAAGATACTGTCACTTTGATCATTGTAATGCATTCTTTCTGAATAAGAGTATTAATTTAATGTAAAAAAACAACAACTTTGTGACGCCAATCTTATGAACGGGAGTGTACGCATCCAGCTATATTCAAAGCATAACATTTATGTCAGAGAAGAACATTTCTTATATGACGAGTTAATCAGAGTCGTTTCTGTCATATTTCAAACATGCAAATGTTACAAAAAGTCCAACAGGATGTTAGGACTGTCAATTCCGCTCTGGGAATTGGTTTAGGTGTCGTTGCGTAAGGACCGAACGACAGAGAACAGCCATCAGGACACTGACCGCAGCAGAGGAGGGAGATTCGTCAGGAACATTCACTTAAAACAGTAAGATTCACTGCATTTCACAGTTCTTTTTTTTATTTTGGATGTTCACATAAAAGCACATAAGTGTCTTCAATGTATGAACCTTCAGAAAATCCTAATTTGTCGGCAATGAGAATGTTTTTACAGTTTTCGTGGTCTTTTAAGACTGCTTGATGGCTTTCCTATTTGGTTTTGTGTGTTTTGACTCTGAAATACAGAAGTCCTTTCATTCTAATGTGTTTTTCTCCATGTTTGTGATGGATAAAGCTCAGATAGTTTGTCAGTCTAGAGGTTAATATTCAACTGCTTCATTGCATGACCTTGAAACTTGTGTGTTTAGTGCATTCAGTCTCTTTAAAAATATTTAGATGTTGGGACAAAAGTCATTAAATAAGAGAAATACATTTAATTTCAATTTTAATTATTTGGTGTAAATTCATCCTTCGCCCTGCCTTATTCCTCAGACATGGAATCTATATCATATGACCGGTTTACCTCTCCTGAGGCAGAAATTAATAACACTGGACAGAAATTTATACATGTATCAGGTGAGAATTTGTATTTATTTATTTATTTTTTCAGTTTTTGAAATGAATGATTGTAAATTGTGCTTTGTTGAAAATATTGACTCAAAATTAAGAACAAATCTACCATGCCACCTTACTAAGAAAGACAAACATTTCAAGTACCTGGAAAAGAGGGTGAAATACCAAATCCTTATTTGCTGAATAAATATATTGACACTCCATGATAACCCAGCTAACAAGAAACTTTCTCGGATCTTTGGCTAACGTTCTGGCAAGGTTCTCTCAAACATTTATCCAGTAGCCATAGTTTGTATGTTTAAAGTGGTCTTTAATAGCGTTAGCTCAAAAACATTTATACATCGTTCAAATCATTTAGTTGGACTTTAGGCTAACTTACTATTTGTTTATGGTTCAGAGAACATTTAAATGTAAAGTTCCCATCATATTTGCAAAGTTATATAGTTTTCTCTACCGTTCACATATCCAAGAAAAATATAAAAAAAATACAATTGTACGTTTTGAACATTCTGAGAACATTCGTAAATAACTTTGTCATAACTTAATGGGAACGTTAGCAAAACATTCTCATAACATTTGTTCACAATGTAGTTTTTCAGTCCATGTTTGTTTCATATTCTTTTGTAACTTATAACCTAAATTCTTTCCTATAGGTAGACAAAACAGAAAGATGTACATAATATATGGCGTCCTCGTCCTCTATGTGTTTATACTGACCATGGCTGTAGGAATTAAAAGTATGTTGTGAGCATTTAACTTCCACAATTTATGTCAAATTTAACAAAACCTATTGGATTTTTACCAAAGTGGTTTGATTATGAATTTTAAAAGTCTCCCAGGTCAGCCAAGAGGTCGCTGATGTTAGACTTTCTGTGGAGTCTCTCGTTGCCTCTGTTAAAAAGGGCCCTGAAGCTCTGCAATTTGGTAAATAAAGAACCATTTTTATGGTTTATGCATATACCAGCAATATTAATTTGTTGTGACTTTTATAATTAATTTAATCTTTTTTTTTTTCACCCAGAAAATGGTCATTTCTCTGAGCTTGTGATGACCGAGCATGTGATCCCGGTGCAAGGTGAGGCTTCTCATGACAGTGGGGTCCAAAAGTCAAAGACCACTATTGAGAATACACTTTGAATCTGTACATTTTATAATTGAATAATAATACTAATAATAATATATCACCAGCATATCAATTTGAGTAAAACATTTAATTGAAAAATGAATTTCAGAATGCCTTAGTAGTAAAAACAAAAATCTCACCATTAAAAGAAATGCACACAATTATAATGTCCTCATTATAATTGTATGTGTATTATATATGACAGACTTGAGCTGCACATGTTGCACTTAGCTATATTTTCCTTTTCGAAGTAATTCCAATCATATTTCAAGCAATTCAAAATCATCATGGCGTACATGGCGCATCTGAAGTGTTTCAACTAAAGGAAATTAACTATTAATAATTGGCTTAAATATATTTTAACGATGATATAAAAAAATGAACAAATATGCCGAAATGGTGGCCGATATTTTGTGCATCCTTAGTATTTGGTTTCTCATCAGCTTGAGCTTCAATGGAAGAATATCTGACTCTATAGAACATAGACTCTCTATATGTAACATTTTCAATGTTACAAATGTTCAACTTTTAAACAGAGCTGTAAAGTAATCCTATTTATATTTTTTTCTATTAGATTATGAATCCCAGATTCTCTACGTGGACTCGAATTTTGGACTTGCCTGATTTAATTTTTATTATATGCATGTTTAACTTTACAGGTCCCTGCCAGGAAGACTGGGTGTTTTATAAAGACTCATGCTACTTTCAGTCTTCAGTAAAGAAGAGCTGGCAACTTGCTGAGAACAACTGTATCCAGAAAGGATCACACTTAGTTGTTGTCAATGACATGGCTGAGCTTGTAAGACAAGAACACACACAGCAACACAATTATTTGAGTCTTATGTGAGGTTAAATATGAGTTTGGTCTCTTTTTAAACCAGGACTTCCTATCTTCGATCATGAAGACGTCTAACAGCTACTGGATTGGGCTTGTTGAGAAAGAAAAGGAAAAATGGTCCTGGGTAGATGGAACAGAATATAGTGCTACTGAACAGTAAGAATGAATATAAAATAATGAGAGAAGGTCAATGGGGGAAAAGTGTATATGCACTAATGCTTTTTTGGATTTTACCTGTAGCACTTTAGTTTAGGGTCCAAGTTTCACTAACTTGTTGCTTATTAGCATGCATATTACTAGGATATTGTCTGTTTATTATATTGTCTGTTTAATGCCTTTTTCTGCATGACCATATTCTATTTAATCCTACACAATACCTAAACACAACAACTACCTTACTATAACAGTAAATAGGTTCTTGATGCAAAAAAAAAAAACCAACAGTTCACTGATGCAAAAGTCATAGTTAATAGTTAACTTAACTAAAGTGTGACCAGTAAATTCAGTTCTTGTCTCCCAAATGAAAGAACCAATTGAACTGCTTGAAACAAGTCATTTGTAATTCCAGTCTCATGTCCTGCACGAACCTATGTAGGTTTGTAACAAGTCCTGTTCCGCATACGTACTGTGTACTTATTGCAATTACAGGGCAAACCTAACCTTAATATAGTTATAGTTATATTACCAGTTCTTTCTTGGGTAAGTACACAAGTACATGTACTGCAAAATAGTGTAACCATAAATTTGCATAATGTTTGCATAAAGGTCTTTATTGGCTGCCTGTTAACGTCTACTTTGACCCGCCCTCAAAACACTGTAGTTGTAGCTGAGGCCTGAAAGAGTTTAGTTTGTGTTGTCGACATGTCTTGCGATGCGAAAGCAAACCCATTTTGCAGGCACTTCTAAAGGAAGGGTACCATAGACTGTAAAAAAAAATTCACGTGACGTCCCCTGTAGGTTTCTGAATAGCTTTTTTAAAGCCTAAAGTGGGTGGGGTCGCCATCTTGTTCGCCATCCTGTTCGTATCACTGTGTATACAAGTGCTAAAATTCAGATATGCTAATGGTGGTTTACACGCAATTACCGGTAGACCAATCACACCAAACCTGGCCATCTGACCAATCAGAGCAGACTAAGCTCTCAGGAAGGAGGGGTTTTAGAAAGACCGGGTCCTTTATCAAACCGTTTCAGACACTGTGAGTAAAAAGTGATGCTGCAATGTCTATTATGAGGAGATTAAACTTTTTTTTTTTTTTTTTTTTTTTACTTTAAGTGGATGTAAACCAGTTGTAGGAGACGTCCAAAACAAAATGAGGAACCTTTAAAATAGCATAAGAGTGGCACTTTAATCTAACTCTTGATGTCTATTTCAGCCTCTGGGATGAAGGTCAACCTGATGACTGGGATGTTCCTTTGAATGGTGAGGACTGTGGGCAGCTTCATGCTTGGTCATCAAGTAGTCGGAAGCTGTGGAATGATGCGGACTGTACGCTCGCTTTTCTTTACTTCTGTGAGAGCAAACCCAAGAGCCACTGAAAAATAATTAACCTCAAACACAGCAAAATGTCTTAAAGGGATAGTTCACTTTGAAATTAATTTTTGATATGTTTTAACTTAACTCAAGGGCATCCAAGATGTAGGTGTCTTTAGTATTTTCAATTTTGATATTTTAGGTCAAGCCGTTGTTGTCTGTCAGTCATCTAATGGAGGTATATGGGGTCCACTTCAAAGAGCATGCATAGAGAAGTCCAAATTAAACATGATTTAATGACTCTTTTGATGGCCTAAGACACGAAATGAGTGGTTTCTGTGAGAAAACAAACAGTATTTATATCGTTTTTACCTCTTGTAAATCACAGCCACATCCAAGTGATCTGAGGGCGCGGGCGCTTTGGTCTGCGCAAGCGCCGGAAGTTATCTCTCGCGCAGTTGCGAAATTCAACATTGTCTGTTGATATATCGAAATCGTCTTCCATTACGATTTCCTGTATATCTAAATATGTTTAGATCTTCACAGAAATCTCTGTGTAAACAATGAGTGGCGTATACACGCGAGATAGCACTTCCGACGCTTACGCAGACCAAGCGCCCGTGCCCTCAGATCACTTGGACGTGGCTGTGGTTACAAGAGGTAAAACGATATAAATACTGTTAGTTTTCTCACACAAACCGCTCGTTTCGTGTCTTAGGCCATCAATGTGTCCTTACATTTACGAGTCATTAAATCATGTTTAATTTGGACTTCTCTGTGGCATGCTCTTTGAGGTGGTGACCATAGACCTGCATTATATGACTGACAGACAACAATGGTTGACCTAAAAATATCAAAATTGAAAATACTGTGGAAACAAAGACACCTACATCTTGGATGCCCTTAAAACAAAAATTAATTCAAAGTGAACTATCCCTTTAAGAGAAACGCTTCTTAAGCAACATTTTTGCCTCTTTTCCAGTAAATATATTTTAACATCTTTATTTGAGTGGCAGGATTGTAGATAATAGACTTATGAGAAGATACAGCTTGAATTAAAAGTTGAAGTTTTCCGTAAAGTAGTTTTTATTTTCTTAATTTAAGCGCAAATGTTGGACCAGTTTTTAGATTTGTGCTAAAAAAAAATGCCAATCGAGTAAAGATTATAATAAGCATTACTTTAAGGTCAATTTTCTATAAACAATTACAATTATTAAACTATTAAATTAACAAATTAGAACGGAGGAAGGAGACTTTAAGAAACGGAGTTTAGTATAATTTAAACCAAATATAAACAAAAATATGTGAATAACAGATAGACGTCAAAGATGAATGAAGATCTCTTTATTTCTAATATCCAATATTGACACCTGATGTTAACAAGCAGAATCACTGGAGAAAACCATATAATTTTTACCAATATTTTGTTAATCATTAGGGTCATATTGGGTATCTTGACCCGTAAGTCATTCACTTTAAGTTTTGTTTGGCTGATTATAAAAGTGAGGCTGAGTTAAAACAGTCAGATGAACAAATAGAAAAGGTTATCTGATGGTGTTGGTTATGTTTTAATATAATATTTTTTTTTTTCACAATCATTTGACTGGTTAACTTTTACTCATTACTGGTTAACTTTTAAGGAATTAATTTGATTAATTATTACTCAATTCTAATTTGTTAAATTTAATTAATAATATTGCTTGTAATCTGTTGCACAATTGTATTGCTGCAATTTCATTTTTACAGTGTGACATCACTTGCAGCAAAAGCAAAACAAAATCATCCAATCAATTCCTGGTGGACAAAAAAAAATCAAGTCTAGTAAAGAAAGGATTATCGCAACTTCGGTTTCACGCTGACTTTAAATTTGTCCAACGTGCATTTTTCGGCATTTGTATTTATAATGTTGTCCATTAAACCTTTCAGTCATAGCAGGCCGAAGTGTTGTTTTTAATCTGACCTGTCCAGTTCATCCACCGGGTTGCCCGAGCCTCCTTTGCCGCAGTAGCATCCGTAGTCTGCGTAGTCCAGTGCAGGCCAGCTATCGGGATGGTGCAGAGGATCATGGACCTGAACTGCCACAACGCACGGTAGTCTCACTGTCGCCAGCACTGTTAAACAATGATAGTTTATTAGTGCTTCATACCGATTATTAGCATCAAAATAATATGTAAACAAACAGACTGCGTTGCTTAATCGTCCATCATTTTACTTTGTCTTTCACACAAGGCTATCGCTTCAGAAGATGGAATATAGCACGTAAGTCATAGGCCTACTGTGCATTTTTATGATGGGCTAGTTAGTTATTTTGCATTAGGCCTACTTTTCGAGCTTGGCAGCCCCAGTTCTCATTCAATACCATTGAATGAAAAATAAAGGTCAATGTGTTCGTTAAAAGATTCAACAACTTTTTGTATTCCACAGAAGAAAGAATGTCATACAGGTTTGGAATGACATGAGGGAGAGTAATTGTCTTGTCAGGATTACATGACACCACTCTTTTTATTCATTGTAAAGAAAGTACTTAATTTAAGTACAGTCAACTTGGATCTTTTAATAATTTCAACTTAAATTACTTTAAACTAAATTTAAAAATGAGTTGAAACTCATAAAAAAGTGTAATGTAAAACCACATGTTGTCATAAATTATTGTGTAACTATTTTGACTGACTATAGTGCAATTATTTGACTAATTAGTAAATTCTATTTTTCAAATAATTAAAAAAAAAACTATATACCACATATATTTATTAAATATTTACCATGCATAAGATAAATGATTCAAATAACATGCTCCTGTGTAATAGTAAATCACACTTTAAGTATACTCACAGGCGGGCAGACTGACACTAAGGACCACGAGAGACAGAAAGGAGTGCATGGTGAAGAAGACCATATGAACAGGTGTGTTTTGCTGATTTTATAGGCCTAGAACTTATTATAACCTTGATGGGCGGAGCTCACTCACTGATAAGCCAACATTGTGAACATGTGAGATATGTTAATACAGTATATTCACGGACAAAAATCATGAACATACAGTTTGTTGATGAGATCTTTACAGCTTTGTTGTAAGTTGATTGTGTTTATTTAGACTTAATGTGTGTGTGTTTGTGTGTGTGTTTGAGTTTGTGTGTGTGTGTTTTGTTCTTTGGGAACATGAACCTTCGTTCATGAGACCAAATCATGGTTTGATTATGAATTTTAAAAGTCTCCCAGGTCAGCCAAGAGGTCGCTGATGTTAGACTTTCTGTGGAGTCTCTCGTTGCCTCTGTTAAAAAGGGCCCTGAAGCTCTGCAATTTGGTAAATAAAGAACCATTTTTATGGTTTATGCATATACCAGCAATATTAATTTGTTGTGACTTTTATAATTAATTTAATCTTTTTTTTTTTCACCCAGAAAATGGTCATTTCTCTGAGCTTGTGATGACCGAGCATGTGATCCCGGTGCAAGGTGAGGCTTCTCATGACAGTGGGGTCCAAAAGTCAAAGACCACTATTGAGAATACACTTTGAATCTGTACATTTTATAATTGAATAATAATACTAATAATAATATATCACCAGCATATCAATTTGAGTAAAACATTTAATTGAAAAATGAATTTCAGAATGCCTTAGTAGTAAAAACAAAAATCTCACCATTAAAAGAAATGCACACAATTATAATGTCCTCATTATAATTGTATGTGTATTATATATGACAGACTTGAGCTGCACATGTTGCACTTAGCTATATTTTCCTTTTCGAAGTAATTCCAATCATATTTCAAGCAATTCAAAATCATCATGGCGTACATGGCGCATCTGAAGTGTTTCAACTAAAGGAAATTAACTATTAATAATTGGCTTAAATATATTTTAACGATGATATAAAAAAATGAACAAATATGCCGAAATGGTGGCCGATATTTTGTGCATCCTTAGTATTTGGTTTCTCATCAGCTTGAGCTTCAATGGAAGAATATCTGACTCTATAGAACATAGACTCTCTATATGTAACATTTTCAATGTTACAAATGTTCAACTTTTAAACAGAGCTGTAAAGTAATCCTATTTATATTTTTTTCTATTAGATTATGAATCCCAGATTCTCTACGTGGACTCGAATTTTGGACTTGCCTGATTTAATTTTTATTATATGCATGTTTAACTTTACAGGTCCCTGCCAGGAAGACTGGGTGTTTTATAAAGACTCATGCTACTTTCAGTCTTCAGTAAAGAAGAGCTGGCAACTTGCTGAGAACAACTGTATCCAGAAAGGATCACACTTAGTTGTTGTCAATGACATGGCTGAGCTTGTAAGACAAGAACACACACAGCAACACAATTATTTGAGTCTTATGTGAGGTTAAATATGAGTTTGGTCTCTTTTTAAACCAGGACTTCCTATCTTCGATCATGAAGACGTCTAACAGCTACTGGATTGGGCTTGTTGAGAAAGAAAAGGAAAAATGGTCCTGGGTAGATGGAACAGAATATAGTGCTACTGAACAGTAAGAATGAATATAAAATAATGAGAGAAGGTCAATGGGGGAAAAGTGTATATGCACTAATGCTTTTTTGGATTTTACCTGTAGCACTTTAGTTTAGGGTCCAAGTTTCACTAACTTGTTGCTTATTAGCATGCATATTACTAGGATATTGTCTGTTTATTATATTGTCTGTTTAATGCCTTTTTCTGCATGACCATATTCTATTTAATCCTACACAATACCTAAACACAACAACTACCTTACTATAACAGTAAATAGGTTCTTGATGCAAAAAAAAAAAACCAACAGTTCACTGATGCAAAAGTCATAGTTAATAGTTAACTTAACTAAAGTGTGACCAGTAAATTCAGTTCTTGTCTCCCAAATGAAAGAACCAATTGAACTGCTTGAAACAAGTCATTTGTAATTCCAGTCTCATGTCCTGCACGAACCTATGTAGGTTTGTAACAAGTCCTGTTCCGCATACGTACTGTGTACTTATTGCAATTACAGGGCAAACCTAACCTTAATATAGTTATAGTTATATTACCAGTTCTTTCTTGGGTAAGTACACAAGTACATGTACTGCAAAATAGTGTAACCATAAATTTGCATAATGTTTGCATAAAGGTCTTTATTGGCTGCCTGTTAACGTCTACTTTGACCCGCCCTCAAAACACTGTAGTTGTAGCTGAGGCCTGAAAGAGTTTAGTTTGTGTTGTCGACATGTCTTGCGATGCGAAAGCAAACCCATTTTGCAGGCACTTCTAAAGGAAGGGTACCATAGACTGTAAAAAAAAATTCACGTGACGTCCCCTGTAGGTTTCTGAATAGCTTTTTTAAAGCCTAAAGTGGGTGGGGTCGCCATCTTGTTCGCCATCCTGTTCGTATCACTGTGTATACAAGTGCTAAAATTCAGATATGCTAATGGTGGTTTACACGCAATTACCGGTAGACCAATCACACCAAACCTGGCCATCTGACCAATCAGAGCAGACTAAGCTCTCAGGAAGGAGGGGTTTAGAAAGACCGGGTCCTTTATCAAACCGTTTCAGACACTGTGAGTAAAAAGTGATGCTGCAATGTCTATTATGAGGAGATTAAACTTTTTTTTTTTTTTTTTTTACTTTAAGTGGATGTAAACCAGTTGTAGGAGACGTCCAAAACAAAATGAGGAACCTTTAAAATAGCATAAGAGTGGCACTTTAATCTAACTCTTGATGTCTATTTCAGCCTCTGGGATGAAGGTCAACCTGATGACTGGGATGTTCCTTTGAATGGTGAGGACTGTGGGCAGCTTCATGCTTGGTCATCAAGTAGTCGGAAGCTGTGGAATGATGCGGACTGTACGCTCGCTTTTCTTTACTTCTGTGAGAGCAAACCCAAGAGCCACTGAAAAATAATTAACCTCAAACACAGCAAAATGTCTTAAAGGGATAGTTCACTTTGAAATTAATTTTTGATATGTTTTAACTTAACTCAAGGGCATCCAAGATGTAGGTGTCTTTAGTATTTTCAATTTTGATATTTTAGGTCAAGCCGTTGTTGTCTGTCAGTCATCTAATGGAGGTATATGGGGTCCACTTCAAAGAGCATGCATAGAGAAGTCCAAATTAAACATGATTTAATGACTCTTTTGATGGCCTAAGACACGAAATGAGTGGTTTCTGTGAGAAAACAAACAGTATTTATATCGTTTTTACCTCTTGTAAATCACAGCCACATCCAAGTGATCTGAGGGCGCGGGCGCTTTGGTCTGCGCAAGCGCCGGAAGTTATCTCTCGCGCAGTTGCGAAATTCAACATTGTCTGTTGATATATCGAAATCGTCTTCCATTACGATTTCCTGTATATCTAAATATGTTTAGATCTTCACAGAAATCTCTGTGTAAACAATGAGTGGCGTATACACGCGAGATAGCACTTCCGACGCTTACGCAGACCAAGCGCCCGTGCCCTCAGATCACTTGGACGTGGCTGTGGTTACAAGAGGTAAAACGATATAAATACTGTTAGTTTTCTCACACAAACCGCTCGTTTCGTGTCTTAGGCCATCAATGTGTCCTTACATTTACGAGTCATTAAATCATGTTTAATTTGGACTTCTCTGTGCATGCTCTTTGAGGTGGTGACCATAGACCTGCATTATATGACTGACAGACAACAATGGTTTGACCTAAAAATATCAAAATTGAAAATACTGTGGAAACAAAGACACCTACATCTTGGATGCCCTTAAAACAAAAATTAATTTCAAAGTGAACTATCCCTTTAAGAGAACGCTTCTTAAGCAACATTTTTGCCTCTTTTCCAGTAAATATATTTTAACATCTTTATTTGAGTGGCAGGATTGTAGATAATAGACTTATGAGAAGATACAGCTTGAATTAAAAGTTGAAGTTTTCCGTAAAGTAGTTTTTATTTTCTTAATTTAAGCGCAAATGTTGGACCAGTTTTTAGATTTGTGCTAAAAAAAAATGCCAATCGAGTAAAGATTATAATAAGCATTACTTTAAGGTCAATTTTCTATAAACGTATTATCTATTATTAAACTATTAATATCTAAGGAAAATTTGCTTCTCAAGTGCACTAAACTAAGGATGTTTAGGTGTTTTTATTTGAAAGACTGAAGACAATTATTTTTCAGTGTATACTACATAATGTAAAATATCATTATTTTAAAAAAAAATAATGCGACAGTACTTAAGTATCCATGCAGGATTGCAACCAAAAAATATATATTTTTAGGAATATTTTAGTTAATTCATTAGAGGTCATATTGTGACCTATTTGCAAAAATTATTTTCTTAATCACTATTTTTGGCTTTATAAACAAGGTAAATTTACTTGAGAAGCAATTGCAAAAGATTATTTTCAGAGAACATAAGTTATGTTTTTCATCCCCCATTGGTAAATTGTTTTTAGTTGTTTTTTCAGGCATAAACCTCATACAAAAAGAATATATATATATATATATATATTAAGAAAATGATAGTAAATATTATTAATTGCATTAATATTCCCATAACATAAAATAATCTCTCTGCTATATGAATCAAATATCAATTAACATGAACTCAAAATAAACAGTTACATGATGCACCATTCCTATGTTTAATGAGACTTTAAGGCCAGTCATAATACTTTATCTAGTGTCAGGTCATTTGCAGTTATCAGTAGGATAGTTGACATGCTCTTGGTTGTAACCGGCCTGTGCAAAACATTCGGCTGCTTTTCTGTCACATTCACAGATGAACATCTCACAGGGGCTATTGTTGTCAGCTGCAAGAGACAAAACAACAGCAGTCCAGTTCAGTTCAGGTCCAGTTCCGGTCTCAGTTACTAACAGAGGCTCAGATTTAGCTTTCAGAACAGTCTGTCAGGCTAGTTAGGAACATACATTCTTCCAGTAACCTTTGAATTTATCTGGTCTTTAAAAAAAAACATTATCTACATCATTCATGAAACATTTTAGTATCTAACATTTAAAAATGTTACAACATTTCCATGTTTGTAAAATGGAATTCTAATATTCGCATTACCAAAAACTGGACAGAGAACATCTAGAAATAAAGTTTTCATAACATATTGGGAACATTGGCAAAATGTTCTTTTATAACATATTTTTGTTAGCTTGGGACTTACCATTGCAGCTGATTTTCCTTGCCGATTTGTCGCATGAGAATGAATATATTTCAGTATAGGGGTTGTCTAAGATACCCCAGCAGTCATCCTGCTGCCACGAGTCTGTATAACACTGATCATGCACCTGACAGCACCTAGAGAGCAATAGACAATGCAGTGGCTATGTTTATAAAGTATGTCGCCCTTCCTCTTTGATTAATAATTGTATTCCAAGAGATTTGCTACTTGCCTGCTGTGTGGGGAAAAAAAATGTAACAATCCATCACCTAATTAATATTCATGAGCCAAGTTGATAAGTATACCAATCCAAGCTTTTTCTGAAAAGCTCCTAAAGTAATGTTTAAATTGCTGAACTTTAATACATTCTTGTCATCAAATGCTCTCAAGAGAATTACCAATGCACTGATTTTTCCTGCAAAAATAAAGTAAACCTGAAATCAAAATGAACAGTTTTTTTTTTTTTTTTTTTACAGAATAGGTTATTGCAGCATTTATTGATAGATAATGTATATATTGATTTATTCATGCACATTTGTTGTTATTTTTTATTCATGTGCCTTCATAATCTTATTAATCAAAAATAACTTCCATCCCTCTTACTGCTCTGATGAAGTGTTTACATGTAAGGGCGGGACAACCTGTCACTCAAATGCACTGTAAAAATGAATATGTTATATCTAATCAATACAATTGTGACAACAGATTACAAGCAATATTATTAATTAAATTTAACAAATTAGAACGGAGGAACGGAGACTTTTAAGAAACGGAGTTCCTTGAGTATAATTTAAACCAAATATAAACAAAAATATGTGAATAACAGATAGACGTCAAAGATGAATGAAGATCTCTTTATTTCTATATTGCCAATATTGACACCTGATGTTAACAAGCAGAATCACTGGAGAAAACCATAATTAACCATTATTCACCTCACCATTATGGTAATCAATGTTTGTTATAGTTGGGTTCTTGACCCGTAAGTCATTCACTTTAAGTTTTGTTTGGCTGATATAAAAGTGAGGCTGAGTTAAAACAGTCAGATGAACAAATAGAAAAGGTTATCTGATGGTGTTGGTTATGTTTTAATATAATATTTTTTTTTTTCACAATCATTTGACTGGTTAACTTTTACTCATTACTGGTTAACTTTTAAGGAATTAATTTGATTAATTATTACTCAATTCTAATTTGTTAAATTTAATTAATAATATTGCTTGTAATCTGTTGCCACAATTGTATTGCTGCAATTTCATTTTTACAGTGTGACATCACTTGCAGCAAAAGCAAAACAAAATCATCCAATCAATTCCTGGTGGACAAAAAAAATCAAGTCTAGTAAAGAAAGGATTATCGCAACTTCGGTTTCACGCTGACTTTAATTTGTCCAACGTGCATTTTTCGGCATTTGTATTTATAATGTGTCCATTAAACCTTTCAGTCATAGCAGGCCGAAGTGTTGTTTTTAATCTGACCTGTCCAGTTCATCCACCGGGTTGCCCGAGCCTCCTTTGCCGCAGTAGCATCCGTAGTCTGCGTAGTCCAGTGCAGGCCAGCTATCGGGGATGGTGCAGAGGATCATGGACCTGAACTGCCACAACGCACGGTAGTCTACTGTCGCCAGCACTGTTAAACAATGATAGTTTATTAGTGCTTCATACCGATTATTAGCATCAAAATAATATGTAAACAACAGACTGCGTTGCTTAATCGTCCATCATTCTACTTTGTCTTTTCACACAAGGCTATCGCTTCAGAAGATGGAATATAGCACGTAAGTCATAGGCCTACTGTGCATTTTTATGATGGGCTAGTTAGTTATTTTGCATTAGGCCTACTTTTCGAGCTTGGCAGCCCCAGTTCTCATTCAATACCATTGAATGAAAAATAAAGGTCAATGTGTTCGTTAAAAGATTCAACAACTTTTTGTATTCCACAGAAGAAAGAATGTCATACAGGTTTGGAATGACATGAGGGAGAGTAATTGTCTTGTCAGGATTACATGACACCACTCTTTTTATTCATTGTAAAGAAAGTACTTAATTTAAGTACAGTCAACTTGGATCTTTTAATAATTTCAACTTAAATTACTTTAAACTAAATTTAAAAATGAGTTGAAACTCATAAAAAAGTGTAATGTAAAACCACATGTTGTCATAAATTATTGTGTAACTATTTTGACTGACTATAGTGCAATTATTTGACTAATTAGTAAATTCTATTTTTCAAATAATTAAAAAAAAAACTATATACCACATATATTTATTAAATATTTACCATGCATAAGATAAATGATTCAAATAACATGCTCCTGTGTAATAGTAAATCACACTTTAAGTATACTCACAGGCGGGCAGACTGACACTAAGGACCACGAGAGACAGAAAGGAGTGCATGGTGAAGAAGACCATATGAACAGGTGTGTTTTGCTGATTTTATAGGCCTAGAACTTATTATAACCTTGATGGGCGGAGCTCACTCACTGATAAGCCAACATTGTGAACATGTGAGATATGTTAATACAGTATATTCACGGACAAAAATCATGAACATACAGTTTGTTGATGAGATCTTTACAGCTTTGTTGTAAGTTGATTGTGTTTATTTAGACTTAATGTGTGTGTGTTTGTGTGTGTGTTTGAGTTTGTGTGTGTGTGTTTTGTTCTTTGGGAACATGAGCATGTGTTGGTAATTTGAACAGCTGGTACAAGAATTAGTTTTTCTCGAAAAAGTATGAGACTTTCATAGAGCCCTGGAAAAAGTTGCGAAACGCATGAGTAGCCTTCATGCAAACCAGCTGACAGCACACAAGAGGTTTTTTGACCAAATAACAATGTTGTCATTGTTGAATTGTTAGATATGCATGCACATTTCACTGATTGCAGCCTATTTTGTTGCCATATCAGAGTGACCATAAATGCAACAAGAGCAGTGATGATAAAGCTGATCTCTCTGGATGCTGAACTGCAAACACTCGAGGGCAGATGTGTATTGGAGGCGTAGGGGGATTGAGAGAAACACTCCGCCACTGCCTTGAAAGTACATGAAAGTACTTGTTTATAAGTTAACTTTAGTGTGTTTTCAATGTTACATTTAAAGTGAATATATTTATTATAATATATTATGTTTGCTATTAACTGTACATTTTAGTTTCAGTAGATTTGGCTGTACACTTTAACCATGTTTCTAAGACAATAGTTTTAAAATTAAATAGGCCTATGCATTAAATCTTTTAGTTCTCTTTTAGTTTATTCTTAGCTATATGAAAGAGTTTCACCGCACTCACGGCAAACAAGGTGCCAGACAGATAACACTTGACAACCAAAAGAACAAATTGTCTGCACACTTGAGTCCTTCAAGCCAAATTTAATGCCAAGCTTTCGGTGATACAACCATCCTCATCCTCATATTTACTAAGTTCAAGTAATAAAGTATTCTCGTGAGTGTATAATATGCCATTGAAAATACACACGGGTAAGGGGTTCTAATGTCGGTCGCCATGTTGCCCCTCCATCTTGAAAGTACATTAGCCAAAGAGGGACATACCCGTTAATTCAAGCTTCGCCTTTCGCGTTTACGTTCGAGTTAACACTCATGGGCGAGGTCGAACTGGAAGCCATGTTAATCTTGGACTACATTGGCCACCGTAGGAGTTAAAATGAAATCGGAATTGAGAGGAACAGAATATTTACTGGATGATCATATACCTTTTCACCACTAGATGGAGGTTAAAATCACACAGTGTAGCTTTAAATTTAGTCACTTTAGCTTAAATTGCATTAAACTGAATTTTAAAAAATGAATTGAATCTTCTGTAAAGTTACTTATTTTGAAGAGTTAAAACAATGCAAAAACATGTTATCATAACGTACTCATAATATCAATATTTTCTTCACAGTTGCATTAAATATGAATTTAAATGAGGTTTGTAATTAAAAAATACTAAATACTTTGAATTAGGCACACTATTGAGTTGTGTTTTTTGACATGTATTTTAATTTAATTTTTAAAGTAAAAATAATATAGATATAAGATATAAGAATTATGTTATACTATGTATTATTGAATGTATACATTATTTGATTTGATTTTGATACTTTATTTCATTGAATATTATCGATTTGTGTATTTTCACTTTTATACTTTATTAATATTTATTATATATCAACTGTATATCATATTGTATATTGAATTGTTTATCAACATCCATTTTTTCTTCTCTCTCCTACACCATATTATATTGTGTTTGATTTAAAGTATATTGTGTGAGACATGTTCTCTTTGTATTGTTTAAACCAGCTTGCCTTGCACTGCTGCTCAAAATGAACTTGAGATGTGTTTGTTACCCACACCCCGACAAAGACTTGTATGCCGCAACACATTGGTGAGTACTTGTCTTTTCAAGAATACGGATTCATTCAGGAACATGTAAGTGAGTCTTTGAATCATTGACTCAACCGATTTGTTCAACAACAATAATTCATTCAGGAACTAAAATTAAAATGGACAGTTATTGGGGACAATAATTTTTGGAATTTGCAACATTTATTATAAATTATTTATCAGTGCACATCACTACCCTCTTACGTCAACATCTTTTCTCTGATGACGTTAAGTGGCGCAAGGGCAGGGCAACCTGTCACTCACATGACATCACAGCAATAGCAAACCACAATGATCCAATCAGTTCCTGATGGACAAATCTAGTTCTGCCCTACATTTTTTCTTGTTGGAGATGCAATTTTACTCAGATATACATCACAATAAGAAAACACTATCTTAAAGGACAACTCCGGCGCAAAATGAACCTTTGGTCTAATTACACATTGGTACATAGTCAACCTTTCTCTGAGATTTGTTTTCGTGATTATCGAATGTAAAGTGTTTTATCTCTAAAAACTGTTTAGCTTATAATGCTAGTATATGGGGCATAGAGTAATGAAAATAAAAATCACTAGTTAATACCACTAACAAGGCTCAGAATAGCCTAACATTAACACGGTAGCATAATCAGGGTCCCTACATGCAAAACGAAGCATTGAGAACGTTGTAAGAGTACAAACCATTTAATAAGAAGATATTTTATAAAGACAGTCCACTTCACGAAAACAGGCAGGAGCCATCTTGGGAAAACAGTCTCGACCGAGCAGTCGAACCATGAACTCGACTGCTCGAGACTGTATAAGCTAAACAGTTTTTTAGAGATAAAACTCTTTACATTCGATAATCATGAAAACAAATCCCAGAGAAGTTCTCTGAGAGAACGGTTGACTATGTACCAATGTGTAATTAGACCAAAGGTTCATTTTGTGCCGGAGTTGTCCTTTAACTTCTGTCTCATGCTGATGTTAATTTAGATGCTGCTTTGCTTGAACTATTGCTGGAGAAAAAATAGACCTATTTAAATGTGTACCCTACATAGGAGAAGCAGGTTTGAAAATGGATGTTTTTTTTTTGTTGTTGTTGTTTTTGGCCTTTTAGGAGTCACGGATATGGGATGGAATCCTGGGATTCATTTTTACTTACCCAGACACGTGATCGTTCTGGTAATCTTATCGCACTGGAAGTCATATGTGTTTATGTAGGGACTGACTCAAGTGCTCTATTACACTGTAAAACAAATGTTCATGTTTGTCAACAACATTTTTTCTTTGGTCAAATCAACTATAATAATTTATGTGGTTCAGGTAACATAATATTTTGAGTTTCTGATGATCATTTCATGTATATTTATGGTAACACTTTACAATAAGGTTCATTAGTTAACATTAGTTAACTACATTAGTTAACATGTACAATATGTGAACAATACTTCTTCAGCATTTATTAATCTTAGTTAATATTAATTCCAACATTTACTAATACGTTATTAAAATCAAAGGTTGTATTAGTTAACATTAGTTAATGGACTGTGAACTAACATGAACGCACAATGAACAGCTGTATTTGTATTAACTAACATTAACACAGATTAATAAACACTGTAACTAATGCATTGCCCATCGTTAGTTCATGTTAGTTAATACATTTACTAATGTTAACTAATGAACCTTATTGTAAAGTGTTACCATATTTATTTATTTATCTTACAGTGAAGTTCTGGCAACCACAGCTGCCAGGTTTTAACTGTAAATCATTTATATATTTTTTAGATTTACATTTATTTTAATTGAAACAAAAATCCTTACTATCCTTAAGGATAGATTCCAAATGATGATTTAATAATAGCATATTTTCTGCCCTCTTAAATGGCTCATGCCAAATTGCTGTATATGAGTGATACTAAAGTTGCAGATCAGTGCTCTCCTGCAAACCATCACACTTTTACTTCCAACAAAAACACCAACATTTTTTCAGTTTAGGACTTTCAACATTGTCGTCTAGTAACATCACATCACACAACACAACACGCTCAGCCAACCCTAATCATGGTTTAGCACTGACCAAAACTGTTGCTATGAAACTTGTGCTGGGATTTTTACTTGTACACAAAAACATTTTTAATCTGCAGAACCTAAAATGTTTCTTAAATTAAGAAAAACATAATGCATCATACCCTTATATAGACTATACGTAACTCTCATATTTAAGCCCATTATGTAAAAAAACAACAACAAAAAAACAAAGCTGATCCAACACTGATCTCAAAGTTCAGGGTGTGATTGTTCCATGTAATTAAATCATACACAAATAATGTCTTAGTGTGCAATCATTTTGTATTGTTTAATTGTAATTTTATTAGCACAATAATCCATTCAATCAACAATTTTTTATGGTTCATTTTATGCGCAGATACTTCTCAAGCAGCGTGATGGGAATGTTCATATTAAAAATCAGAAACCTTTTAGTGACACCCCTGGAATCAAGATCTCAAAGACAATCATCACAGATGTCCTTCGAATAATCTAGCAGTAGTTTAGAGTCAAAAACTGAAAAGTCACACGCAAAACAATTATAGATATCTGCAAGCCTGATAAGAAATATATTTACATTTGCCACACATTTGCAAACAGAAACACTGTAGATTTTAGTTTATGGAACAGAAAATGACATTCAGAAACTGATATAAACTCATACAGACAAAGATTTGTGTGATTTGTTAGGTATGGTCCCTTTCTTTGATGGGTAAAATGATACAGTATCAGGCAGAATAGTGTTGGTCCCACAGTTGGATTGAGATCAGATCGGCTTGTACAGCAGTGTGGTCACATACTTCTTTTTGTAGCGATGTGTCGCACTAAGTACCATTACACCATCCTGTGTGACGAAAGCAAACACATTTACATGTCAAGTCACCTTTATTTATATAGCATTGTATACAATACAGATAGTTGCAAACAGCTTTATATGGAAACTTGTTTACACCACAGAATAAAACATTATGAAAAAAAAAACTGCGACATATACAAAAACGTACAATTGCGAGAAATAAACTCGCAATTGTGACTTTTCTGACTTTATAACATGCAATTCTGACTTTATATCTCCAAATTGTGTTTTTAAGTCAGAATTGCGAATTTATTTCTCGCAATTGTACGTTTATATACCACAATTCTGACTTTATATCATGCAATTCTGACTTATATCTCCCAAAGTCGCAATTGCGTGTTATAAAGTAAGAACTGAGATATAAAGTTAGAATTGTGGTATATAAACTTACAATTGCGAGAAATAAATTCACAATTGACTTAATAACACTCACCCTCAAGTTGTTCCTAACCTGTATGTGTTTCTTTCTTCAGTTGAATACAAAGAAGATATTATAAACAATGCTGTATTCAAACAGTTGACAGTAACCTTAGGCTTCCATTGTATTTGTTTTATTACCAACATTCTTTAAAATATCTTTATTGTTCAACAGAAGAAAGAAACTCATTCAGGTTAGGAACAACATGAGGGTGAGTAAATGACAAAATTTTCAAATACTCATCAATTATTCATGTTTATTTTCAGACATATATAGTACACAAGTCACATCTATTAAAGGAATGATGCTTTTATGGTGCTTTTGACATTTTTGGAGCCAGTCAGCCGTTCATTGTATAGAAAACAGCAGGACTCTCATTCCATACATTAATAAACATACATTATTTCTGTGAAATGATTGACTGACATTGACAAGATTAGATTATTTGATCATTTCCTTCTACGAGCGTCTTCCTAAAGTGTGTGTAGTCTGTTACCGAACCTTGATGGAAAGGGCGTACAGGTGGTTGAGCATCACATGGTTTGGTTCAGGCAGCAGGGTTGGGTCACACTGTTCAAAGCAGACACAGGAACATGTTAGGGAAAGTAACTGCTTTCTAAAACTGCCCACACTCAGCAATTTACAACCAGAGGCCCTTTATCTTTTCTTATCTCTTTAAGCCCAAAAAGAAACTGCTTTAACAGCAACACTGTATTTACCAAGAATCTCAAGTCACTTGCTGGGTTTCCATCCATATGTTTTGTGTTAGAAAACCTGAATGAAAATACTTTAATATCCATGTTTAAACAGCTGTGTTGAACTGTTCGGTACGAGGCTTTCGGTTCAGTTTTTGGTACACATTTTTAAACCGAATGGTTCGTTGGACCATTTTTCATTATGAGCGTGTGGCAAGCGCGCTCATAGTTGAATGGTAGTGCAAGATTTTAAAAAAACACATATATTGTTAATATTAGTTAATGCATTATCTAACAATAACAAACGGAACCCTATTGGAAAGTGTTACCTAAAAATATATATACCATTGCTGATTTTCTATTTCTTTTATATACTATTAAAGTATTTATGAATCACATTTATTTTGATATTTTTAGTTTTCGTTTTAGTAATTTTGTAATGGGCTTTTGTCATTTGTATTAGTTTTTAATTTATTTTTCATAAATATTTCTGTATAGCTTTAATTATTGTTTTCAGTTAGGTTTTCTTTCTTTGCTTTTTTTATCTAATATTTACATTTGATTTTATTTCAGATTTATTTCAATTACTGATTTTATTACTTAAACTGATTTTTGCATTTAACAGTAACTGTTATTGAGGCTTTGTGACAGCTGGGAAAAAAATAAAGGCCGGTTATGAGAAAAGAAATACTACGGGAGTGGACATAAAGCGGGATGAAAACAATTTACCCAGAAAATTGGGTGTAGCAGCCTCTGTCATAAGACTGGGCGATCACATCTGCGTTCAGGGCATGGCAGAGTAGTACTTACAGAGATTCCAGTTTCTTTGTTGAGGAGAACCTGCAGCAGGTGAGGAGGGAGGATGGGTGGAGAGCGCAGTCGGTCTTCTGATTTGGATGCGTAGGGATCCTGATGGTACGGGCCGGGTGGGGAGCTGGATAAGTCTGGCAGAAGACGTTTAAGATCAGAACCTGCAGCATATTTTATTTGTGAAACAGTGAAGGGCTTTATAATGATTAAGAGTTACCTGACATGTCGGCACATTTCTCGGAGTCTGTCTTTAGTGCGTCGAAAACCTCAAAGTCTGTTTTCCTCACTTTAATGACATTATTCACCACACCGGACTTATTAGTCACAACAGCCTAGAAAAAACAAAGAACATGTTGGCAACACTCACACTGTTGGTCCAAATCCGGTTATTTGCATATGTGATCTAAAATTGACTGTCCAACTGTTCAGATCTGATTTGTGTGTCTGTGCTGCTCTTTTGTTTTCCGGAATGACGTTGCGTTGGTAGGTATACGCCAAAAACAACAATATCAATAGCAAGTGCAACATGGCGGGTCTTGCTTAATCTTATAAGACAACATGACAAGAGACAACCTTGTTTCTGCAGCGACTTTCAGCAGGTTTCCTATAACAACGCCTGACGATTACATTTTAAAGTGGTGTGAGAAAGTTACAGAGCAGCGAAATCTGATCTGAGGTGCATTTCCCTAAAGCATCGTTAGCCAGCTATGGTCGCAAGTTCTATTGAGCTCTATTGGTAATGCCAAAACTTGCAACCATAGACTTTGGGAAACACACCCCAGAGCAGTCAGACTGAAATGGATTTCCAAACATGTGATTTGAATAAGATTTCAAACCACATAAATTTAGCTTAAAATGGATTTGTAAAAAAAAAAAAAAAAATTATATATATTTTTTAGTTTTTCTGTTCACACTTGCTAAATCTGATTGGATTTCAATTGGATAGGCACAAGAATTGGACTTGGACTGGCAGTCTGAACGATGTTGTTGTTGTAAATATCAGATATTAAGAAAATATTAAGAGGCTCATTCTTACCTCTTTGGGGTCTAATACCCAGTGTCCATCTACATAGAACTTATACTGGTGTTCTCCTTCAGGTAGGTCAAGTATTGCCACAAAATTATTATGACTGTTAAAAGAGAAAGAGAACAAAACAATAAGGCAAAGCAATTGAAAAGTTCTGTTCTTTCCCCATTTATGATGATGGTAGTGAAATGAAGCCACATGCAGGGTTCAGCATGAGGTCACATGAGTGTTTACTGTTGTTGTTTGTGAAGTTGCTTGTAAGCACACATTGACCCCTAGTGTTAAACATGTAAAAGAACAGCAAGCGCTTTTTACAGACAAAAACAAGACAAAAACCAAAAGGCCAAAATGACATAATCAAAAAAACGATGTAAATGCTATTTCAATAACATAAGAAAAGTGTTTTTTGTTTGTTTTTGTTTCATGTTTTTAAAAAGCAACGACAACAAAAAAAAAACTCCTATGCAAAAAAAAAAAAAAAGGTTACAGCGAGACACTTATAATGGAAGTGTTACAATTTTTGGTATTTAAAAGGAGAAATCTAAAAACTTAATTTATAAAAGCAACAACGGTACTGTTCAAAGGTTTGGGATCATTATGTTTATTACATTTTTTTTTAAATTACTATCAATGTTGAAAACAGCTGTTTAATACTTTTTTGATTGAAAAATAAATACTTAAAGGTTTTCTGAAGTTACTAGCCACTCAGCATTTCAAAAACTACCATATAGATATTTGTAATATTATCTCATAATTTGGCAGCAAGTATATTAGGCTGCCGTTATACTGTTACACATGGGTTTTCTTTGTCAACTGGTTATGTTGACTGACTGTGTTTACTTGGCATTATTTTGCATGTATTTGACTGTTTAAGCGCAATAAGCAGCGAAAAAGAACTAAATTTAGTACTGAGAGGCTGCTTTATGTGCACACTTTGGGTGAGCAACTATATTTATCCGGAGCAAATGAAATGAGCGAGTGAGCAGAGGCGGGTTTGTGTGTAAACTTGCTGTCAGAGAGATGAGATGAAAAAAATCAGCTGGTTTTGGATCTATTCTGCGTAAAAATGAGAATTAGATGCATTTCAAATATTTCAGTATCGATTTGTAGTGAAAAATCTTTATTTTTGACAAAACCGCAGTGCACTTAGTTGTTTATTTCAGAAGCCTTTTTAAAAGACTACAACTGAAAAATGTATAATATCAAATTCAACACCTGCGTTAAACGCCACTGCTGAAAATCCATCCGCATTTGGTGGGTGTTGTTGACGACGTCAAGCCCTGGTTTCTGCTAAATAAAATAATTTCCTGAAAACAAAAATCTTACTGACCCCACACTTTTCCATGGTAATGTGCATTACTTCTTATATAACTTTTGCTCTATTTCAGCTTGTCATTTTTACCGTTGTTTTGGGGTTTTAGTAGGGGTGTGAATCATACTGATTTAATTGATTACGATTATCATATCAACGATTCGATTCGATATCACGATGATGTGCATTTGCACACACATGCACACGTACATGCCCCGCGCGCGCGCACACACACATGCTCGAAATGTTAAATAGAGTGTGAATTTTATGTCAGTAGGCTTTAACTGCAATAATCGATTATGGTCTATTACTGCAGCCGCGCAGAATTACCCACGTGACGTCCGCATCGTGATGCATCGCAAAAACTATTAATTTCAACACTCCTAGGTTTTAAGCATTGCATTGTCATGGCATATTACAGGAGAAAAAAACAACACATTTTACATACTTTTGAAACAGCGAGTATTTTAAAGTTTACAGACTGGCCTGCATTTATTCCCCACTGTAGATGATTCACTGTAAATCTGATTTTTGCTTCTTTCTTTTCTTTTAAATAAAAGGAAGGACATACAGTACATTTAAATTCATTTTAATAATTGCATTTATCTTTTAATTCCCCCCTGCTCCCCCCTGACCTACTACAGAGGTCCAGCTGGCTTAAAGCACCTTGAAGAACATTCAGCTCTAGGATTTTTAGGATGATATAGATACCTCCCACTGTGTTTCTTGTGTGAACACAGTCTACCATGTCATGCTAATAATCTAATGGTCTGTCAGCACTCACCTCTTAGTCAAGGGAATTTTGCTGGCCCAATTATTAAAGGAGCCAGACAAGTAGATCTCTTTCCCTGGACCGCTCCAGTGGAACACAGTGGGCCTTTCCTCTGGTGGGGCTTTACTATCTGATTCCTGATCTTGCCGCCAAGCTAGAAACTCCTAGAAAGACAGGGAGAAAGATTGATGAGGTGTCTAGAGCAAATAGTGGTAGAGCATAAATTAGTTAAGGAACATGTTTTTACAATTAATGCTTCACTGTAAACACACCACCTTGGCATCATCTGCTTGGAAGAGGTCTCCGTCCTCCGCGCTGTCCATCAGGATTTTGGGTCGAGCTCCATCTTTACCACCTCTCTCTCGCCGGTTCGTCTTCTCTGCTCCGCTTCTCTCGCTGCTGGTGTTGCCCATGCTGCTGCTTATTTTTGATGCATGTTAAAGTCAGTCAACATTGATATCAAAATTGACAATACTTTTATTGAATAATGCAGTATTTATTATAAATTATTTTATTTATCTGTGCACGTCAAGTTTGATTTCCAATTCAATACCTGCGATTAGTAACTGATGTTAAATCGACAACTTTTAAATTCATGTGCCCTCAAAATAACTAGCTTTTAGCCACCGTCATCGTCATCACTGATGACTGGCGCGAGGGCCGGACAACCTGCCACTCACATGACATCACAGCAATAGCAACGACCATCCAATCAATTCCCAAAGGACAAAATCAATTTTTATTCCAAGTATATTTAGTATATTTCACAGTTTCCAAATATATATATATATATACATCAAATTAACGTTTCTGTGAAGTATGTGTGTTATCAGGGACTAAATGTCTAAATACACGCGAGCGAGCGAACAAGTCACGTCGTAGTAACGTTATGGTAACGTTGCGTTTAGCATCTGATGTCGACGACTGAAAGGTAACGTTACTGTCATTATTTATGAAAGATATCATTGACATGCCACATACGACACAAATATGTCAGCTACAGTATTTTCCCTAAAATTGATGTCTAAATGAAAGTTAACTTACAAGGCGCAAGGACACTTTGCGTCATGAGTAACAGCAACAGACAGCAAAAATTACCTTACATCAAATAATTGCTAAACACGGGTTTAAAATCCATTAAACAAGCCTGCACTGAAAGTCGTTTTATAAATCCCACATTATTCACAAACAATTAAATAACAATACTTAAACACGCGATTAAAGAACATAACCTTTGGCCGCTGTTTACGATTGTTTTGGCAATAATCAAATATGTTATTTTGGTTTAGTTTTATCAGTCCGGAATCCGGGGTTAACTTACATTCTACAGGACGTAACGTTAAAAGACAGATGTTTTTTTTTTTTTTTTTTTGGGTCGACTTTTTTACTTTGTTGTTCCTCTTCATGTATGCAGGTCTCGCTCGCCTACATCAACGACCACAGTCTATCGCCCTTTCATCACGAACTGTGGTAACTTCCCTTATCATTTAACTAACTTACCTCTGAAAACTTTATATGCCTGTAGCGCTCGATTGTTTCTTTTCATAACGCCATTTTCACATTGCCTCACAAAAAGGGTAACTGTATTAAGCACACCTCTTCCGCCTGCTGTTCGAGCTCTGTATAGTTAAACCAGTGGGAGACGACTGAGTGTTGTAACAGTTTTTGTCCAGCTCCTGTAAAGCGTTTTTTCTGTTTTGTGTATTTTAAACTTTGATATAGCGTAAATGAATACATATGTGTCCGATTAGTGTAGTGTAGAAATATAGAACTTGTCCATAAACAACGTAAAAAGATTTGTTTTGACTACTTACTCAGCGTTTTAAAATGTGGTCACGTATGACTTGCGCATTATGTAGACCTACTATTAAGGAAATCAAAATACTTAAAAATGATTATTTTATAACCCATCAGCTTTGTTTGAATTGATAACATTTAAGTAAGTTCTGGAAATTGTAGTTCAAAGCAGCACATACAATATTGTATATTTCTATATTTAAATTATTTTGCATTAATTAAACAATATTTGTATAATTAATAAAAAAGTGTAGTTTTTTATGTATATTTATTTTATTTTTTAGGTACTGTGCCAGATTGGGTGTGTCCTATGATGGAGTGAGCCAGCTGTGTTTATGAGTCCACCACACATCAGAATCTCGCCACATTCTCTTGGCTGTCCAGTTTCGCAGTGTCATGACTGGCAATGAGGTACTGAGGGAAGTGGAACTGGATCCACAAAGTAGGCTACACTTCAATAAAAACAGACATGTGTGGCAACAGTGAGATGCATGGACCACCAGTACATATTGAAAAAACATCAACTAAGATTGATGGTTGTGGTGACACGCTGATTAGTATTACTATATTCCCATATATTGAAGTACACTGAAAACTTGTCAATGAAACACTTAGAGTAAATACTACCACTAGTATTCCATCACATGTGTAGCTAGTAGTTCTTTGCTTTGATTGCCAAGACTGGAGACAAATTCTGCTATATTTAATCATAGCTGGCTATAATATTACATATCAAAATACAGGATACTCCAAACGCTGCAGATTACATTGGGTGTGAATTAGGAGAGGGAGTGGCTAGTGCCCGCTATAATACATTAGACATTTATGCATTTAGTATATTGAGACATTTCATACATTGCACATTTATTCATATTTTCCTTAAAAAAATTATCATACTTTCTGTAATTTTACATTCACCTGTACAACATAACTGGTTGTTTTTTTTTCTGTAAAAGCATTAGTTATCTATTTGGGCGCAAGCATACTTTTAGTGTGCCATTTTTAGGACAAACACAATGTACATTTCTAAGCTACACATTTACACCATTTGAAGTGTCATCATACTCAGCTAATACAGACTTGCAGTTGTACGGCCTGCAGGAATAAACATCACTCTGATATATCTTTGAGGTGGTATAAATATGAAGTGACTTAAGATTTTCTGTAGTTTGGATTCTTGGCCATGCTTTGAGCAGATCAGACCCACTTATACATTCCATTTGAAAATATTAATTACTTATAAACCCGGGATTGTTCAAGCACATGGTGCCACCACAGTGAAACCACGTTCTGGGTTTGGCTCACAGTGTCCTCTGGCGTTCACTGAAACCGATCGCCACCAATTTACAGTATAGCCTTCCTGCCATACCGGTTTCTCCACCATCAGATCGCATTCTGTTTAGTTGATATAAAAAAAGACCAATGAAAGAAGGAAATATTTTCTTACTAAACACAGTGCATAAATCATGCTACTTAAATAACAGGACATGCAAATGAGAATATAATTTACAATGATAATTTAAAGGAATAGTTCACCCAAAAACAAAAAGAGTTTAATTGAGTAATCCTCATGTTGTTTCAGGCACTTATTATTTTATATCATAAGAACAGAAAATCTGATGTTCAAATTGGAACGGGAGCTTTCAAGCCTAATAAACAATTTTAAAGCTTTTAAAGTAGTCAATACACCTCTATACGTCTTCTGAAGCCATATAATAGTTTTGTTGGATGAACATGCTTTTTCGGATTTTACGTTTCATGTATTGTGTAATCTCGCTATTTGTGAATTTGTGAAGTTTCAAAGATCAAAGTTCATGATAAATGGAGTTCTTTTCTCCCAAAAGAAAGAACCGATTCTGAACTGCCTGAAATGAGTCATCAGTAATTCCAGTCTTACGTCCTGCACACACATATGTAGGTTTGTAACAGATCTGCAAAAAGCCAGCCTAAGGTCTTCATTGGCTGCCCGTGAACAACGTCTACTTTGACCCGCCCTCAAACACTGTAGTTGTAGCTGAGGCCTGGAAGAGTTTGGTTAGTGTCGTTGACATGTTGAAAAGATGCTGTTTTCTTCGCTACGAAAGCAAATCTATTCTGCATGCAGTTCCAAAGGATGACAAATCCGGCTGGAATTGATACTGTAAAATGGTAGACCAACATCAACAGACTAGGCCATCTGACCAATCAGACCAGAATAAATCAATCACAGCAGACTAGGCCATCTGGCCAATCAGAGCAGAATAGGCTCTCAGAATAGAGGGGTTTAGAGAGACTGAAGACTTTATCCAGCCGTTTATGACGGAAAAGAGGTGATTCTGCAATGCAGATTTATCTTAGATGCATGTAAACCTTTTTTTAGGAGACCTCCAAAACAAATTTAGGAATAGTATACTAGTTCCACCCTTGCTCTCCACCTCCAAAATCAAGATGTTCTTGTCCCTTCTTGGTTGGTTCTGCCATCGCTCCTTTTATTGTATCTACATTCATGCTAGCTCTGTCTGTTTGGTGATGTTTGCTACCAGCTTCTTCCTGGCCTCGCCGTCAATCCCAAGCAAACCAAGGATCCCCCAAAGCGACTGCCCTGTGAAACCCCTGCAGCCAACCTCCACCGGCAGGTTTCAAGCCTTCCAATCCTTCCTGTTGGCACTCGAGAATCAACGTCTGATATTTCTTAAGCTTATACTTGTGTGCTTCCTCCATTTTTTCTTCCCAGGGTACTGTCAGCTCGACAAGTACCACCTGGTTAGTAATCTTCAACCAGAGCACAATGTCTGGTCTAAAGGCCCATACACACCAGGACGAATATCGGCGCACGTTATTCGCCAGCGTTTTTCAACGCATTTTTTGTATTCACACCCAAGCGATTTTCGCTGACGATGAGCCGAGTGAACATGCAAATTCATTCCCTGACATTAGATGGCGCCAATTTGCTCTGCAATACCACTCCATAACAGTTCTCTTTTATCAAGATTTTTGTAGTCACTGTTGCGTTTGTCAGTTCTTTATGTTCTAACACCAACGAGACCAGCAGCTTTACATTTATCTTGCCTTGCATCTTCCTCGTTTTATTTCTTCCTGGCAGTGTAGACTGCGACGCTACTTGGCGTAGTTCTTCTTTGCCGTTACGTATGTGTGCTCGGCAAGACCATTTTGTCTTTGAGCGCCCCCAAGTTGTGTTTTACTGTAACTTCAGAAGCTCCAAACACGTGAGCAAAAGCGCCAATCTCATTGGTCGGATAGTTTTTGATGCGGCGCGTCCATAGACTGTAAAAAAAGATGGACGACGCCCCTTCGCTCTTTTCCATCAGAGAGAACTGAAGCCGCCAGAGTCTCGATATGACGCTGACATCTTGGAACTTGAGTCTGCGCACTTGCGTGTTTCGGGACCAGTCATGCGCAGTCGTGAGCAGGAAGTAAAGCCGCAAAGTCAAGGCCGCGCCCTCATTCTCGCTGAATCAAACGCAAGTCATCTCTCAGAAGTTTACTCCTCATCTCAGTTGCCACGCTCTCCCCAGACCTAAGAAACTGGATCAAACAAGGCCCCTTACAGGTTGTCTTGGTTTCTTTCTTGCCTGCTCCACCCCGGCAGCCAGCTTAGTCAAAACTTGGCGCCGTCACCAAAATTCCCATCTGCCAAACTTATTCTGCATGAGGAAAGGATATGCTCAAGGTTCGCTGGCCTTCCACAGAGTGTGCATTTGGGGTTTTCTGCCAACTTCCATGTATGTAGCTTTGATGGAGTACTTAGGTAGGACCTTGCAAACATGGGCCACAATAAAAACTTAATCCGGTGCTCTTCCATCCTCCAGATGTCCTGCTAAGTCATAACCTCATCCAGCTACCTTTCTTATTCATTGCTGCGGACTTAACATACTGACTTTACTCCTCTGCCTTATGGATGAACAGAATCAACTGATTCAAATAAAAGTTTCAACTTAAAAGAATGATTTGTTAACAAGGAGCAGGTGTCAATATTTTCATTGAGTTAAATGTGAGTCTGCTTCTCTTTTAAAACTATCATATGACTTAAGAAGACATCATATGAACCTCTTTTATAATACTATATGGTGTCATTCTGTCATTTTTTTTGCTAGTCCTCATTCACATACATTGTATTTAAAAGACTAACCAGAACATTTTTTTAAAAGGTCATATGAGTTTGGAAAGACATGAGTAAATATTGAGGGAATTTTTGAGTGAACCATTCCTTTAACAAGTCACATTGATAATATACTCGAAACATTTTGTGCAAATGAGTACCGTGGTGAAGTGTACAATACAGAAGACCGCTATGATCAGAAGGCCAATAACTAGAGAAGCGATTCCCATGTGAAGAGCCTTCCTCCCCAGTCGCTGAGATCCTTCATAGTCTTCAGCATCGTAACTGCTTTGAGACTGAATCAGAGAGAGAAATCCTAATTGTGAAATTAACCAATTTGAAAAAATAAATAATTTCAAGATGAATTTGATCGACGAGATACGAAAAGTATTTAATGTAAAATTTGCAGCATTTTTTAATTCGCAGCATCAGTAGCAGGACTCCAAGTGAAAACTAGACTGCAGTATGCAGCCCATAAAGCAGACCGCAACGTGGGGCATAGTGAGGATGCCAGTGTTAATTCTGCTCTTAATAAGATCAGACAGCAAAATAAGACTTGGACATAAAGATCACTGGCACAAAATCACATTTAATGCGATGGCAAAGTTGATTTGACGTCATTAAGATGATTCACATATGAAAAATCAGACAAAGCAGGTGGTCTAAACTATTTTATTACACGTAAACATCACTAAACTTTTGATTTATACTACTGATGGTTTTTAAATAATATTTAAAAGTACTAAATCTCTGCTAAAAAAGATAAAACATTTTGTGTTAACCACTCATACAGTGCATGTGCATAAAGCCACGAGTGTGTCAGAGGGCAGTTAGATGGGTTTGCGTGATTTGCGATGCTCATTTAGTTTCTCACAGGCGGTGTGGTGGCAGCTGCAGCTGCTGTAGTCAGTGAGCCCTGAAGTTTTAATGTGTAGCAGAGGTAGAGTCAACTTGAAACTAGTGGTGTTCTCCACAGCACACCCCTGCACTTTACCCCATTCAGACCCCGCTGCCTGGTACTGCAGTTATCTGTTAGTGGCATTTGAAAAGCACTGATTGATTGCTGAATTCAGGGCAAAGGTATGACAGGAATGGGCTGCTTGTAAAAATGATTCATTTTTATGCCCATTATGCGAATGGATCACACGTATGCCACGAAGCACTGTACCTTACAAAAATATACAAATGAACATATCCTACATGTATACCCATTCTGTCTTGATCTGCACCCAATGATTTATTTTACTCTATTATGTTTTACTGGTATTCTTTATTATAGTATTAAACCTGTTAATAAAGCAATAAGCCCTAAGAAGCCAGGATTTACCGTGAATTAGGACACAGCGCGGAGCGTTTTGCTGTTCTAAATTCACTGTAAACCACAGCTTCACAGGGCTTATTGCTTTTATAAAATGGTTAAAATGTATTTTTGTAGAGCAATTTACAATGGCTTTGAACGCAACAGAGTTACGCACCAGTTAGAATCGAGGACTATCCGTTTTATAATCATAAATAATTAATTAAAAATAGTAAGGTTTTCATTAGACTAATCAAAAACTAAGCATGATTAATCTGATTTTTTTTCCAGTTAAATGTCTCTTTTTCACCCTCAGTAACAATTGATATTGATTTAAAAACTATATATATATATATATATATATATATATATAATTTCATAATATAATTTCAATATATTATTATATAACAAAAGTATGTATATATATATATATATATATATATATATATATATTCAATAACATTGAAATAATTAATTTGTATTAATATATATGGTAATAATAAATACATTTTTTATTTCAAATTTATTTCAAATAATGTATTTTTTATTAAAAAAATTACTATTGTGTGTATGTGTTTGTGTGTGTGTGTGTATATATATATATATATATATATATATACACAAAAATATTTTATTTCTTAAAAAATACACCATTTGAAATAATTAATGTTTTATTTATTATTACCATATATATTAATAAAATAATACATGTATTTTTTTTAACAGATAAGAAAATAAATTAAAAAAATAATTTAAAAAAATAAAATATTATTGTGTGTATACCGGTATATACCTGATAAATACACACACTATAAGAACAGACAGGGTTTCTCATTCTCATTAAATTACATCAATGTTATATATTCTGTATAGTACAACACTCTCACACACACACACACACACACACACATATATATGTGTGTGTGTGTGTGTGTGTGTTGTATATTGTAAATAACGTAATGTATAATATTAATGTATTTTAAGAATGACAATGAAAAACCCGGTTCAAAATTCATATAATATTCGGTAAATTCATTGCAAGTGAGTTACTGGGTGTATATTTTAGTGGCCAGACCGTATAACTGTTATTGCACCTCTCATTCTGAGGTCAAGGTGTGACAAATCAGGTCGAAAATCACTGAAAAAAAAACTTTGCTGTTTACCTACAGTATAAGCATTGGTGAAGAACAAAAGCCTGTGAAAGTTCATCATCATCACATCCACCTTTCACGTGCCTTGTGCAAGTGAGCACATCCGCAGGCTGGCATGTGAATGTTTGTGTAGGGGAAAGGGTGTGTGAGAGACGTGTGAGAGTGTATGCAGTCTTGCTTGCATGTGTGGGAGTGCTAAAAAGTTAACTGCAAAGATACTTGAGGCCTATCTATTTATAACACTTATATGTCTATCTGGACCATAAGAACATTAGGTTTAGTCAGATTTCAAAGCCACACATATAACACACTGCTAAGTAAACCCAGAAGAAACATACCTTTTAAGAACAACACTCTCTACAGCGTATGACCAAAATACTGTAGAATCACTGTACGTTTTGATATATAACCTCAATTAAGATTTTGATTTACATGAATGTGCAACTCTCCAGTTAGAGACAGAATAACAAAAATAGTAGTTTTTTTTGTACTCACCATCAGAGAAAAAACCAACGCCACAATGTTAATAGGCCATGCCGGACAAAAACAAGTGAAAATAGTCAAAAAAATGTAATTTTTCAGCGGTGGTGCCCCTTGTGCCTCAGCACTCCTTCCCAAACTGTGGTCGGAACTTCCATCGATAGAGCAGTTTGTCTTTCCATCCGACCGATGAAGACCAGGACTCATGACGCAGCTGAGTTATGAAGGAACAGGAGATGGTGAGAACATTTACAAGAGCCGTGCTGAGAAGATCAGGAAACTGAATGGAAGACTGGAGGAGAAACAAGAAGGCAAGAGCTCATGAAGACACTCATGGGGGATGTCAGATGATTGGGTAAGTGTGAAAGGCGATGGATGAGAAGTTGAGTGAGTCAGAGATGGCTTATGACCTAATTACCAACCGGGCTGAACACTATCCCACTTCAGAGAGGGAGAGAGAGAGAATGTGTGCGGGACATTGAAGCAATGTAAGATGTAAGAGGAGAGGCAAGAGGAGGAAAATAAGTCTGTCTACTTACCCATATTACCATTATCTGTCAAAGGGAGAAGGGAGTGTTAAAGTTACAACTGATACAGCCATATGGATAATGGCCTCAAAATCACATTACTAGGCTGCCAAGAAATGTACACTGGCAATTTTCCCACGGTTTTTGCGGAGTACTGTAAGCGAGGAGAGCGAAAACAGCGCGGCAAAGAGGCCAAAAACTGCATCACACATTGGAGATGCAAATTTCATATACAAGTTATGTATGAGGAAAAAAATTCAAGTTTTCAGAGTTTTAGTGTCAGTACTACATTAAACTGCAATGTTGAATGTAATGTATAATAATGCAACGAGGGAATATTTGTGTGTCCTGATAATGGCAAATGTCTTATGTTACCAGTAAAAGTGGCCTACATTATTTTAAATATATCTAGTCAGTGTCAGAGTGCAAGCAAGCTTATTCGACTAAAATAATTCTGTATTTTCAGCATCACAATCATGCCATTTTTATATTCTGGTTTCATTATTGTCCTGTGATTATCATCACTAAGTGCAAACCTATTCATTTTCAAACCCAATGTAATACCAGATGTAGCATATTAATCAAGAGTACATTTTTTTTGTTAACCTTTTACCGTAAGTCTTGGAGTATGACAATAATATTGTAGCGTGAGTTCAGTATCGTGATATGTATCGAATCGTGACATGAGGGTATCGTTATACCCCTAATATATATTAGGGGTGTAACAATACCCTCATGCCACAATGTATATACAGTGGGGCCAAAAAGTATTTAGTCAGCCACTGATTGTGCAAGTTCTCCTACTTAGAATAATGAGAGAGGTCTGTAATTTTTATCATAGGTACACTTCAACTATGAGAAACAAAATGAGAAAAAAAAAATCCAGGAAATCCCATTGTAGGATTTTTAAAGAATTTATTTGTAAATTGCAGTGGAAAATAAGTATTTGGTCACCCACAAACCAGCAAGATTTCTGGCTCTCACAGACCCGTAACTTCCTCTTAAAGAAGCTCTTCTGTCCTCCACTCGTTACCTGTATTATCGGCACCTGTTTGAACACGTTATTTGTATAAAAGACACCTGTCCACAGCCTCAAACAGTCACACTCCAAACTCAACCCTGGTCAAGACCAAAGAGCCATTGAAGGACCAGGCTGGGAATAGTGAATCTACAATAGGCAAGCAGCTTGGTGTGAAAAAATCAACTGTGGGAGCAATTGTAAGAAAATGGAAGAAGACCACTAATCTCACTCGATCTGGGGCTCCACGCAAGATCTCATCCCGTGGGGTCAAAATGATCATGAGAACGGTGAGCAAAAATCCCAGAACTACACGGAGGGACCTGATGAATGACCTGCAGAGAGCTGGGACCAAAGTAACAAGAGGGACTCAAATCCTGCAGTGCCAGGCGTGTCCCTCTGCTTAAGTCTGTACATGTCCAGGCCCGTCTGAAGTTTGCCAGAGAGTATATGGATGATCCAGAAGAAGATTGGGAGAATATCATGTGGTCAGATGAAACCAAAATATAACTTTTTGGTAAAAACTCAACTTGTCGTGTTTGGAGGAAGAAGAATGCAGAGTTGCATCCCAAGAACACCATACCTACTGTGAAGCATGGGGGAGGAAACATCATGCTTTGGGGCTGTTTTTCTGCAAAGGGGACAGGAAAACTGATCCGTGTTGAGGGAAGAATTAATGGGGCCATGTATCGAGAGATTTTAAACCAAAACCTCCTTCCATCAGTGAGAGCCTTGAAGATGAAATGTGGCTGGATCTTCCAGGATGACAATGATCCCAAACACACCGCCCGGGCAACGAAGGAGTGGCTCCGTAAAAAGCATTTCAAGATTCTGGAGTGGCCTAGCCAGTCTCCAGACCTCAACCCCATAGAAAATTTGTGGAGGGAGTTGAAAGTCTGTGTTGCCCAGCGACAGCCCCGAAACATCACTGTTCTAGAGGAGATCTGCATGGAGGAATGGGCCAAAATACCAGCTAAAGTGTGTGCAAACCTGGTGAAGACTTACAGGAAACGTTTGACCATTGCCAACAAAGGTTATGTTACAAATTATTGAGTTGAACTTTTGTTATTGACCAATTACTTATTTTCAAATAAATTCTTTAAAAATCCTACAATGTGATTTCCTGGATTTTTTTTTTTCATTTTGTCTCATAGTTGAAGTGTACCTATGATGAAAATTACAGACCTCTCTCATCATTCGAAGTAGGAGAACTTGCACAATCAGTGGCTGACTAAATACTTTTTGGCCCCACTGTGTATATATATATATATATATATATATATCTTAAAATGAATTATAATGCAGAAATTAAAATCATGCTCATCATATTAGGTGCGTTTAAGTTGTTGCATGTATGAATTGCATTTTAATGTATTTATGAATTAATTAAAAGATTTGCTAAATGAGTAATCTGACAAAAATGAGCGTCACTGAGTGGGTGTCACTGCATGTGAGTTTATGCAGATAAGGTAATGCTATCAGACTGCAGGATACACCACACAGGAAAAATGAAAAACACCTGCCACTGCTTAACGCGAGAAACCCGCCGTCTCTGCACTTTAGATGAAATGACTCGCACTAGTCTCTCTGCTCTCTTCGCAACCATCTGGTTCACAGGTAATATCAGCATTTTTACTCCTCAGTAACACTACTTATTATTGACATGATGTCAATAGTTTGATGAAATTAAATTGATTTAATACTTTGCTTTTTTGCTATTTTCTCACAGGTCTCGTCCCTGGAGATGTAACTTTGTCAGATGTAAAGATATCTGTGTGGCAAAAACCTGAGACAATACAATGGAAAGGAACAAGTGAAAACATCACCTGTCACATTAAAGCCCATACAACAGTGGGAAGAATATTGGTTAAGTGGCTGCAAGATAATCAAACTGAAATGAAGAGTGAAACAATTGAAATGTCTGAAAATCGATCGTCTGTGTCTGGAGCTGTCTTTATGAACGCATCGCTGGACCTGATGTCAATACGTCTAAATCATAGTGGCAAGTATTACTGCAAAGCATGGATGGACTTACCTGAACTTGGACTCGTTGAATATGGAAATGGGACGCATGTATATGTGGGTGAGCTTTATTTTCTACTCTTTTTAAAATGTTGATTCTATTCTATTTAAAGACTGATAATATCATGCACACATTTCATGTAGGCTAACAGTATGCACTCAACAAATTTTTTTCAGTGCTTAAAAAAGTCTCATGAGCAATCCTCATGATAAACATTTATACTTTACAGTGCCTAATTCTCCAACTCCCACACCCGTGACTGTTACAGCAAACCCCTATAATGAGACTGTGACAGCAAACCCCTATAATAAGGACACAGTTTTGTGGCCATTGGGATTGGGTTTTGTCTTGCTAATCATCTGCATTGCCTGTGTTATTCACATGCATTATAAAGGTAAACAAATTGTGAAATTTCTTTCAAAATTGATGTGTATGGGTTGATTGGAATGTGTTTCAGATTACTAACAATGGCATACTATCAATTACTACACGGTTAAAAAAAGGCTGCTGCCTTAAACATGTAAGTTGATTGTACTTAAAAAAAATTAGTAATTTCAACTTAAATTGCATTAAACTGACTTAAGAAAAACAAGTTGAATCATTGAAAAATGTAAAAATGTAAAAATTGAGTTAAAGTAATGTAAAAACACGTCGTCGTAACTTATTGATCGTATAATTTATTTCAGTGTACTGATAGCACACTCAGTTTTTAAAATAAACTCAATTCGAATGACTAAAGTTTAACAGACTGATTTTTAAAAACTAGGACACTGGATAAAACCTAAAGCAAGAGAAGTCTCAGTGAGTAACATTTATTTATTTATTTTTTTATTTTATTGAATATTGGCAGACAGAGCTGATGGTCTTTCAGAAAAGTAATACGGTACTTTTTTTAAATAAATTATTATTTCACTCTCAGGTCGATGCTACCCATGAATCCCCCTGCCCTGAAACTCAGGAAACTGTTGTTTATTCAGCATTAAACTTTCCCCGGGTCAGTGTGAAATCAAGAAATGAGGTAAATTGTGCCCATCTAGAGCATTTAGTCTGCAGAATTCAAGTGACACTTACTGTACATGTTTTAGCTTAGTAAGCAAACGGACAGTTTGCAGTTGTCACTTTGTCATACATCATAATGTGCATTATATATCCAGATGGAATTATTATGTCATGTTATAACTTGTCTTACAGAACAGTGCAGCTCTGGCAGTCTCTTCAGTGACCGTCACAGAGGACTCAGTGACGTACTCTGAGGTCCAGATAAAGAAAGGACCAAAGGATGCAGGTTGAGCACTGTAATCTCTTTCACTTTGGATATGGGACAGAGTGTATTAATGGGACTTTAAGCTTCTGGTCCTGTTTGATTTTGTCAAGGTATTGCTGTAAATACTATACAATTTTTATATAGTTTTCAGTCTTTTTCTTCATGTAATACTCACGAAGGCTTAATTATTAAGTGCCGTTGTTAAGGCTCACATTTGAGTCTGTTTTAAGCAGTATTGTGCTCAAGGTAATGTCTATAAGATGCAATTATACAAACATCTGATAAAACCTTCAAAGACTTTGTCTTGTTTGTTCAGTGATCAGGGTAGAGTTCTTTAAAATGACTAAAAACTTTAAGTGGGTTTAAGTGCACTGACAATAAACTCTTTTGAGTTTAAAATGGATTTTATATAGGAATTTGCCTGCAGTTTTTAAATAAGTCTTTGTAGCAATAAGAGTCATACATGAAGATGACAAGAACGGTTAATTGACATAACAGAGATGTTTATCGTAAAAGACTTATGTGTTACCGCCTACACAACCCCATTTAGAAGCTTAACAGTAAAAGCCTTAATCATATGACGTGCTTCTGCAATAAGATAATGCTGTTTCATCCTGACAAATTTTTTTAGTTTCGTTGTTTTTTTCACAAGTGTCGCAAAAAATACAGACTTCTATGCGGGGGTGTTCAGGGAGCGCTTTCAGATGAGAGATTCAGTAGCAAACCGTAGGCGATTTGACAAGCCTCGAAGCCACACGTGAATGTGAAGAAAAAAAGACGAACATTAACACGCAACGCGCAATGTCTGGACTGAAGTGAGTCATGCGTGCAGTTTTAAACACTGTAGGAGTTCTGAAATTTTAAATAATTAAATTACCATTTCCAAATATGCTTTCTTGTTTTTTTTATTTTAATTTTTTATTTTTTTAGAGAGGGTCAAGCTTCAAACAAGAAACATTAAAACTTTCAATTATTAACAACCATCCTGTTTACTTCATAAAAAGAGTTATTAGTGTTGCTTTTTTTTTTTTAAAAAACCATTACCAGAATCTTCATTTAATTGAAGTATATTCATATTCATATTCAAATCATTACAAGACTTTAAACCTCTAAAAGAGATTAATGGAATTGTGTTACGAATATAAACTTGGTAAAAGCAATGTAACAGCGTGGAAATAGGGGTTACAATTCACATTTTAAATCATCTTAATGAAGATAATACATTAGATCATGACAGCATCAGATAGACACACATTCGCTCTCTAACACACACACCCACACACAATAGTAGCATAGCATCATTCACATTGCCTTCTGTCAACAAAAAACACAAAATAAAACAGTTCAAGTTCATCAAATCGTGGAGGAAAAAAACCCCAAAAAACATTTTTGGACATAAAGAATACCATGCGTTCACGTTCTTGAGTGTAAAAAACCTCTTAATCACGCTGATAGATCTCACCAGATCAAAAAGACCGTATATATACAATATTTTACACAAACAAGGTCAAATCTAAGTCTGAGAAATATGTTCTCCTTGTTAGTACTGCTATTTTCATGATCAGTGTAATAAATCCAGTTGCAAAACTAACAAAATATACATTTTGATGTCCCATCACACTATATTCTTCAGTAGAAAATGTACCAAATGCATCTGAAAGTGATTTAGTCTTTTAAATACACTACAAAGATCCACATAGATTTGACACCGATTATTGCTTATTATAAGAACTGAAAAGACTTTTCTACAATTACAAGCCTACATTTATATAATCATCAGAAAAAGACAAAACGTTAAACAAGAACTGAGAGAGAGAAAAGAAACCAAGACAAAATTACACTTAAGTTGTTATCATTTTAAACTGAGAAATAAACAAATTATTTACAGGTTTAGCTCTATATAAGAGGAGCAGGAGGTTAGTTAGACTGATATGACAGTAATTCATAAAACAAGAAATATGTCACATCACATTATTAGTGTTGCAGCCATCATTTCATCAGCTTAGGGCTGATTCATCTCATCCAAAACCATTTAATGACAGAGAGCTTGATAAAATAACAATAAAACCCTGCGACGCATGGAGTGCATCCATTATATTCGATTGAGATCACAACATACTTTAAAAATCCTTCCTTATGATGTAGGGAAGACGTCCGAATGATGAATACTGTTGTGCCTGTCACTCATTTCAATGATAGCCGTTAGTAAATGCCGTAGCGATCAGAGGGCCCTGGGAAGGTAAAAATAAGGCATTGTAATTGCAGTAAAAAAAGACACAGGAAAAACAAATGTTTTATTAAATTCATTGTGTGAATCAGATGTTTTCCATCAATGATGTGACGCTTGTTTTTAATTTCAAAAATACATAAAAAATGCAATGACTTTTACACACATCTATGACATAATTTTGTGAATTATTATTATTATTATTATAACATGTTTTAATAGAGAACAATACAAATTATTTCTAAGAAAAAATGCCTACTGCTTTCTGCTTATTATTATTTGAAAATATGACACTCGTAACTGTCAGGGTCAATAATTTGACCTTTTTCACATGGCAAGGTTAGTTCAGGTTTCTCGCCAAACACTTAATATATAAGAATTAATATCATGAGACACTGCACGTATTCAAAGTGTAAAAAAAAAACACAAAAACTTTTTAACTTGTTTTTACAAGTCATTTAGGTTTTTTTAACCATAAAACCACATGAAACCGATATGAATACAAATGAACATTTCTTCATTTTTCTTTGTCGACAGCGTTATTGTTTTTGTTTATTTCTTATTTGTTAATATTTTGAATTCATATTTATTTTGATATTTTCAGTTAACATTTTAATTGTATTGTACTATTTGTTTGTAATTATTTTTCAGTTTTAGTCATCATTGACATTTTTTTTACATGTAATATTTGCATTTATTTCATTTCAATGACTTTTCTATTACCGTATTTTCCGCACTATAAGGCACACTTAAAAGCCTTTAATTTTCTCAAAAAACGACAGTGCGCCTTATAATCCGGAGTGCCTTATATATGGTTGAAATTCAACTTGCGCTCGTGTCCATCTTATGCCCGCTTTGTCACACATGTTCAACCTCGTATAAATCAGGTTGTGTGTGTAAGTCACGTGCCCGCTCACGAGCACTCACTCTTAACAGACACACGAACAGACACGCTGCAGCACGCCCCGGCGCAGCTCGCGCATCACAGAATGTTCATAAAGCGCTCCCCGTTCACAGTAACCAGGTCGTCTCATTCAAAACAGCCAGCTGTTGCTGTCAGCGAGCCGCCGCACATTGAATATTCCTATGAGTCAGGCTGCGAATGTAAGTTACGTGCCCGCCCCAGCGCGCTCACACTTACTAAATAAACGCCTAACCTCCGGCGCCGTGCACTCGCTATATTCCCAGCACATCTAGTGGATGCATAACGCAAACCCAGTCAAACGTTTGACTGCAGTATCTTATGCGCCTTATAATCCGGTGCGCCCTATATATGAAAAATTTTCTAAAACAGGTCATTCATTGAAGGTGCGCCTTATAATCCGGTGCGCCGTATAGTGCGGAAAATACAGTAGTTTTTCCTAATAGTTTTAGTTAACGGTAACAACACTGCATTTGACTGACTCACCCCAAGGCTGTGGCTGAATCCAGTGCTTGGAGCGGGACTTGCCGCGCTGATATAGCTACTGACAGTTGAGTCCTGATTGGCCGCTCCATACAGGTCTGCCATCGGCCCAGGGCTGCTGGTACCTAAAAACCCACCTGAGCGAGAAGGAGTTGAGCCTACAATAGAAATCAATATTCCACAATATCTCAATCACTTTTCATGAACAATGAAATCTTATAGATATAGGTCAGCCGGATACTGAAAAGGCGCATTGGGGTGGGTGCGCTTATTTCCCGAGAATGGGTCATGTGTAGGATGTAAAATTAAATTCTCGCACCTCTGACCACAGCTGCTGCTGCGGCGGCTGCCGCCATGGGGTTGTACGCCGTTAGAGGGATGGCTACAACAACATCCGGATGCAAGCAGAACGAGCAAACAAACAGGAAAGAGAACTCAATCAGTATCAAGAAACAATACGGCTTGTCTGAAACCAGTGGGAAAAGTGCTTGCATCATACAGAGCAAGATATGATGGTCTGATAATTTGTGGTAATGCCCAAAGCTGTTAAGCAGGATTTCCTGGGTGGTGGTGTCACAGCATAAACTTACAGCACTCAAGTCACACTTTGTTGCGTGTTGGAATATGGTGAGCGGGTACCATGTGCAATAGCTGCTTGTAAAGCTCTTAGAGGGACTAACCTGTGAGCTCAGGGGGGTGGGGTGATGTCAGAAGGGGGGTCCTCTCTAAGTGGAATTCTAGAATAGAGATAAACACAGAAAGCCGTTTAAACATACACACAAGTGCTGTTCAGGCTACACACATGGAGAAGCGCTATAGGGCCTATGGCAGCAAAAATGAGTGGCAAGACATGCAAGCGTACAGGCCTCAAGTTAGTGCACATAAAAAAGACAGTCTCAGACCGCCTCTCTGAGATTTACAAGCAGCCATGAGTCTCTGTGAGTTTCTTTAAATCACTGATTTTAATGCTGTTGAAAAACTGTGATATATACAATATACACTACTGTTTGGGATTTTTTATTAATTCTTTGATTCAGCAGGGATGCACCAAAAGGGACTGTAAACCCATTTAAATGATTATATATGGAATATTTCTATTTCAATAAATTGTGTTCGTTTGAACTTTCTATCCATCCAAGAAGCCTGAAAAAAAAAAACAGTTTCCACAAAAAATATTAAGCAGCACAATCATTTTCAACGTCGATAAAAATAAGAAATGTTTCTTGAGGATCAAATGACACTGAAGATGATGAAGATTCTGCTTTGTCATCACAGGAATAAACAACATTTTAAAATACATTCAAGTTGAGAACTGTTCCTTTAAATTGCGAAAGATATTTCTAAATTTGACCGTTTTTACATTTATTTTTGATCAAAGAAATGCAGCTTTGGAAAGAGACTTCTTTCAAAAATATTTAATAAATGAACAACGAAAATTTTGAACGGCATTGTACATGTAATCTAATATATGTGGTGTTTTTACACATAATCTCTGATCACAAAAATATATATAAATTTAGTATATTCTTTTGTGCGTATGCAAAAACATCAAATGCTTTACCAATACCACATGTTCACAAGCATATTTAGCAACTAGTTAGTTATGTTACTTGATGTTGGCAACAACCTACCATTACATAATGCTCACTGAATTGTATATGCAATTATAAACTGATAATAAATAATTTCCTGATTTAAAAACCCAATATTAGCTCTCTACCTGAGTGTCTTAAGATACATTCCAGGAAAGAGTTAATACCCATGAACCAATGTGTGAATAGCTCTACGGAGACACTGATACAGTATTACAGTATGAGCCAGACATTGAGTCTTACCAGGGAACTGATATGTGTATCCTGGTGTGAGACTAGTATAGCTGCGGCCAGCATATGTTGCTGCCTGGAACCCTGGATACCCTAGGGGAAAAAAATGTCACCCATCAAATCATATTAAATTAACGTTGATCAATGTAAAATGAAAGTATATCATTTGTGTATTCCGTATGAATTCTTGGACCAGTACAGGTTGCACTTTTCACTCTTAACAGCAGAGGGCAGAAGAGTCCACACTATGCTTTTCATGCCACTCTTACCCAGCATTCCTATGCCAAGCATGAAGGCGTCCATCCCGTAGGGCATGACACGAGCACGACCTCTTGAAGAGCCTGTGGGTGACATCACTTCCTTGGGTTGGGCTTTCTTACACTCCACCTGTGATTGGGAAGGGAAGATATCAGTCATTTAAATACAAGTTTCAACAGTGCGTCTGAAACGCAACGGTGTTTCAGAAAAAGAACTCACCATTTTGTTGTTGATCTCGTGGAAGTGGATCTCACAGACTTTCTCCACTACATCTTCATTCTCAAATGTCACAAATCCAAACCCTGAGGGAAGAAAGAGTCCAGACACTCAGACCGTAGTTTACATTTGGATTTCCACTTTAGCCATCATTATAAACAATGTCTACAGTTCATATACTTCAGTTCAACTTCAGGTGAGAAGTCCGGATGCCAAACTGCCAAAGAAAAGCCAAAGAAATCAACTTCTTTTTTCAAGAAGTATGCTTACGACGTCACAAAAAAGTAGTTTTTAGGACATGTACCAAGGGAGTACCTCACCCATCACCAGCTGATACCATTACTGTACTTTTTAACTAGGTATAAAGTGAGGTCCAAAAGTCTGAGACCACAGATTACAGTTGATTACAGTTTAAAAAGTTGTAATTATGGATATTT